GGAGATCTATCATTGTGACTACTAAGAACTGAGACGTACAGAACTTGAGGTAATCGCCCTTGAAGACTAAAAGAAAACAAACAACGAAGTGGTCGGACTCCAGAACAAGATGTGAAACCCACTGTCAAGATAATAATGACTGATAAAGTATAATTCTGTGTATTCTGGATTAGGTAATGCTTTGTAGGTGCATAAATACATGTATGCGAACTCATGTAAGCTGTCACTCTCTGCGGAGGTGACCCAACGCTGCTGGACCTGAATAAAATCCTAGAGTAACCCACGACGGAGTTCGAGTCTCCTTTAACACCTTGCCTCACTGGTGTGGTTTCTCCCTGCCTCATGTTAAAATTTAGTATGAAGTGTTAATTTGTCTAAGGTCAAAAAAGAGTATTTGTAAACATGGAGTATTTTTAATGTAGTGACTTCTGACGCTGGGCATCTTTTACTATAAATTGAACTTTAATGAGAAGAATTATTCTCAACAGAAATCTAAACCAGCTCTTCCACACAAGCCAAGATACATGCTGTACTCCTCTGCAAATAGATGAGAGTTTCAGAAACTCGGTTTTAGCCCCAAGAACCAGACACTGGATCATAAATTAGGTTTTGGTCCAGGACTAACTGTTTTTCACCTGCATTTCTAAATAATGCCTTTCTTCTATGGGAGGTGACAATTCTACACTTCTGGATAGCAAAGACAAAATGGCTTGGAGGGTATTGTGAATAGCCATGGATCTCTGACAGGTATTTAAGCTGTAATATTCGTGTTCCTGAGGGAAGAAGGTTGCTGGCGAGCTGCAGCTGAAGCAGGCAGGGCCCCAGTAAAGGCAGCTCAGCAGGGTGAAATACTATAGGTGTATAATACCTAAGTTTTCCTGTATTTGCATCAAACCTCCACCAAGGATCTATAGTGCTTCAGTTTCTGCAACAGAAAGGCTTCTGGATACAGAGAATAAAGCAAAGCCTTCTTTCTTCCCTTCTTTGAATCCCTATATAGTCTCACATGGAGAGAATGTTTGCATATCGATTATACTTTTATTATCACACAAATCCATGTATTTCTGAGCTCTCTGAGCTTCCCAATATGAATTTTCTATTTTTTCACATAATGGAAAGACTATGAAATAACATTCAGATGTCTGTTTAAAAAGCAATTGAATTTTTTCCAGCATGTTGGTGACTGAGTAATGTTCACGATTTGCTCTCTAAGCAGGGCCAGGATCATTCCAGGCATCCTGGGCCCTCTCCTGGATGTTTTGGAGAGGACACAAAGTACTTTTTCTTTCAGTAAGTTTTTACTTTCAGAAAACTCCGAGACATGTTCTCTTTGGGCCCTCCATATCGCAAATATTTTCATTGAAAACTACTGTGAACCACAACATTTAGTTACAGATCCAAATTTACTTGGGATTTAGGGGTATTTGGAATTTTTAAATTTTTCTTTTTTTTTTTTTTTTTTTTTACTTCAAGCTATTCACCAATAAAAGACTACTTCAATTCTAACCTCTTTTTTCCCCATCAAAACAGTTCAACATTTTAAAACTGAAGTCTCTAAGGATGGCATATGATTCATTTCTTTTACAGATGCGGGGCCCTGCTGCCCTCCAAAGAGCCCCAGGGGTCTTGCAGATGGAAATGCATTCCCATGGGTAATGGATGCACCCTACAGAATTGCTTCAGTTTGCTTTTTGATAAAAAAAAAAAACCAAACAAACAACTAAAAGCAGATGAAACACAAATCTTCTCGTGATAAAAATTGCTTGTAATTTTTCTATATGGCAGTTAATTCATAGAGACATCTAAAAAAACAAAACCGAACACCTAAACCTATTTAAAAAAATTACAGACAAACAGGTGGTTTTAAGTAACAATACACCTGAAGAGGTTACAAAAAACTAAGAGAGACTGCCTAAAAAGATTATCAAGAGACCAAATTGTTTAGTCAAGGTTAATGAAAGTTAGAATATAGTGGCAAATGCATGAGGAAACAGATCAGATTAAGTGAGCAATTACAGAGATAAAGATTATAAAATGCTGGTTATTTCAATCTTGTAAGAATCTCGTGGTTTTAGCACCGTCTTAAATTGTCTTTAAAATGCTTGTCATGCATTTTGCATAAGGAATGTTTCAATCAGAATTTGAATGAAATAGCTTGAAAGCAAAGGATAAGAAAATTCACCTGAAGCTGACACTTGGTTTATGATCAGGGTACTGCATTACAGCTGTGTTTGTTAGGAAGAGGAAATTGTTAGGGTAATGCTTTGGGGTAGAGCAAGAAAAAGCTGCATTTCCCTGCAAAAAATGTACTACTCCTGGAGAATTTCCAGAAACATAAAGAGAGCAGGCTACACTTTCACTAACTGCCACTATTATTTTATTATAATCAAACCGTTATTGTTCATACTAGTGAAATTTTGATGGGAAATAATTTCTTGTTAATTATGTAAAACATATAGTTAAGATTTTCATTGTAAGCAGTAAAACCCAGTATTTCCTGAACCTGACACCATGCTCTAGAACTGCATAATTACCATTCAGAGAGATTATAGGTAAATGAGCCACTTACATTTGAACTTGATTGAAATGGATTCTTGCCCTTTTTTCTGCCTATTCTCCTCTATTAGAAATACTTTAGTCAAATGGTTGTGTATTATTTTAGTGCATCACAGATGCTGATTCAATTAAGATACCATGGCATCTCAGATTTCATTTTTATAATCTATTATGTATTAACTTGCTGAAGGTCTATTTCTGACCTTGGCTTCCAAATTGCAATACAAGAACAGGAAGTGTCCAGCAGTAAAGAAACGCATCCCCCACTAACTCCTATGTGAGTATTTAATAACCACTCAGCTTATGACTAAAACTTGTAAGTTTAAAAGAAAAACAAACCCCAAAACAACCAAAACCCCCAACCCCCCAGCAACTTACTGCTGCAGATGATCAAGCTGCTGCACTACAGTGGTGCTCAGTGCCAGCAGCACACACACCTGTTTGGACAAGGCCAAGTGCAGGCTGTGGGTTAGGCTCTCTTTCCACTCAGATGCTGATCTTGGCAAGAGTCTTGTTCTCAACAGCAGGCACTATTGGTAAAGCAAAAGGGTTAAACTTTTTAATAGAGCGTTTTCTATCAAATGCTATTGGGAGGAGACTGATTTTTATTCTGAAGTGCAAAAAATCCATCTGTTGCATACAAATGCCATCAATAACACATTCGGAGCAGCCAGCTCCTGGACACGCTAATGGCAGGATCAGGAAATGCCGAAAGGCACGTTTCTTTTGGTCTAAGAAACTGTCTTGGAGCCAGTTACTCTAGCGTGCAATCCCAGTATGCTTAAGGCAACACTGGGGTAAGCAAACAACTTCCAAATCTGATTTAACAATAAGAAAGAAAAAGGAAAAACAAACCACAAGTTTGTTCTGCTTAAACACTTAATGGGAACTAGCTCCTTCAAGGTAGAGGGAAGTTCACCTGCTTTCCTGCCCTCAAGTTGCTATCTCCAGCTTCATTTCCAACTGGCCATAGAGGACATTTCAGTCAAAGCAGCAATTTTTCACTTTCTGAGTTATCTGATGAAGCAAGGCTGAATTCAATACATGCATTTAAACCCTCTCTTCCCCATCACCATGGAATATGCTAAGAAAGGGAAGCTAGTTCATCTTAGCACACTTATAAAATAGATTCTATGAATAAAGGAGCTTTTCATTAAATATTAAAAATAAAATTACATACTGCTTTCCGCTCTACTTGAAGTTTTAGTGAGGATAAACCCCGAGGTGCTCAGAACCATTACATGGAAGTCCTGTCTTTCCATTACACCTGCTCTTCCTAGACTTATGTTGGCTGGAAAAAGTTCTGGATACTTCAATTTTTCTTTGGCAGATCTCTCGAGAGTATTTATTCTGCAGTAATATTTCAAAATTGACTGTAGAAAAAACAAAATATCCTAGGTGACCCTTCTGCAGTCTTATGTTCTTAAATTCCCCATATATTAATCTTGCAAGTACAATTTATGATGAGTCATTAGGATATTTTCCATTTCAGACATTTAAATATTTAAAGATCCAGAGGTTGGCTGGTATAAGACCGGAGTGCTTAACCTATCTGCTTCCACTCACTCCACTTACCCTGCCCAGCAGGCTGGTGCCTGCAAATACTTTCACCTTTCCTGAAGGAACATTTCCATTTGAACTGAGGAGGGTACTAGAGAATGCAACTTCTGCTGCACTGCCACGTGATCTGTTAAAATTGCAAACTTAACTAAAATGTATTTTGATTAGGAAATGATCTATGTGTATGTCAGACTGGTGGTGGTTTGAGAGCGGAAAAAAAAAAAAAAAAAAAAAAAAAAAGAAGAATGTGTCCTCGGGAAACTGGGAAGTTCTGGCAGTGCTTGCAGAAGAATTACAGAATAGTTGAGGTTGGAATTTCTTGGTACCTGAAAAACTTTACCTGAAGACCTAACACAGTCAGAGAACACCCATGTTAGGACCAGCTACGGCAGTAGCCAAAGCAAAGGTGTAAAAGACAGCTCGTTCACCCTGAATACCACTGCAGGATTCCCAATAAAAAATTGTACAACAGGAACTGCTGCTAAGAGAATTAAGCAGATATACTGAAAAGCAGGGACAAGCTGTTCTTTCTTTTTGTCTAGACAAGAACAGTGCTTAAACCTCCAAATTGTCCATCTCGGCTTTGCTTTTGCAGCAAGGAGAATGGCTGGAAAGGAACAAAGGTTAAACTTACAGACATACTTTGGCATTTCTCAAGAAATGTACTGTTTTTTGTTTTGTTTTGGATTTTTTTTAGAGTCCACAGGCAGGGTAACTTGCTAAGTTTATACATTGAATACAAAAAGCATCTGTTCTTCCTCCTGTTTCATAGAAATGAAACTCTGGTGCAAAAGAGAAGACTTACCTGGAATAACAGTGCTCCTTAAACAAAATGTATTCTTTATACCAGGCTAAATCAGTTCAGTTAAAAAGGCAAAAAAATATTTTTTTTATCTGCAAGAAAATGTTTATTCTTTGTAAACCCCACAGAAAAAAAAGAATGCAGCCAAGACCAAGTATTGAATGAAAATTGTGCCAAAGTAGGCAGCAAAATGGGGGAACCTCAACACAAAAAGTCAGTGACAATATTTCATGTTTTGCACAAAGATGGAAAACCTATGACATTTCTGAGTAACACTTTTATGGTGACAATTACACAAGATGATTCAAAAATGCAAATGACAGCAACATGCACACCTGGCTAAAGCTAGAAGTTTTATCCCAAAAGAATATCTGTGATTAAAATGATGAAACTTTAATACTTCTATTGACTTGCATGTCCTACTTCATTTCTGTTTTTAATGAGGCATACATGCCAATTAACATGAAAACTTTAAAAAAAAAAATTATTTTCTTTTAGGAAGAACTTTGTTCTTCCAGAGTCCACTGCATGTTTGCAAAATCTCAATGTTGGGTTTGTAATTCTGCTAGTTTCCAATACAATTTTGCTTCCCACCCCTCCAATCCCCACCCTCAAAAAATCTGAAACACTTCAGAAGTTGTCAGTGCAAACACTTTTCTATCAATGTATAACATACATTTTAACTTAAACCTTTGTGCAATTTATGAGTTTCCTTTAAAACTCCTTAAAAAGTCCTTGGCACAACAGCTGAAAAATATTCAGCTCCGTTTAAATTGTCAAACACAAGGTGATATAAAGTGTAAATCACAGTTGAATAAAATAAAAAACCCCAGAACTGCAGCTTTTATTAGCCAGCTTTACAGTCTCTTGTATACAGTACATTGCACAGTTCCGCCTTCACAATAACGCTTCCTGTATTAATATTGTGCCTTCCACGATGCAGTATAATCAAGGCAAGTTACAGAACACTGCTGAGTTTATATCAAAATAAACAGAAGATGTAACCTTGGTTTATAATGAACATCCAAATTACCATGTACAATTTGCAGTAGACTCTGTAATGAGCTTGATATATCAGCTAGATGACAGTGAAGGGGGAAAAAATAGTTTAAACTATCAAGTTTCCTCTTGAAATGTCTTTTCCCAAGGCACTGTGAACAAGACTGTTAGCAATTCTCAATGACTAAAAACATCAATGGGAATATAAATATTTCACACAACAACCACCGTCACATCATCATCTATTCTCTTATTCTTTCCCTTAAACAACGCCCCTGAAATTTGTTTGGTCCTTTGAGGGGTAATCAAATTATCTTCTGCAACATCACATATTTTTATTTAATACATCTATCAATCAAAGCTTTGTTAGATTATTTAACCCTTTCACTGTAAAAACTGTTTTTCCTCACTATTTCTGAATGAATCTGCAAATTCAACTTGATTATTTAAAAAAAAAAAAAAAAAAAGAAAGGGTTCAAAATCAAGCAAAGCCCTGTATTTTTCAAGAGGAAACCATGCAAGAGTACATAAAAAGGCAAAATTGGCTACTTGAAAACCAAGAATTGTTTTTAATGCATTGGCCAAGGAAAATAAATTGCAAAGTTCTGTGAGGTTTTCTAAAAATTTACAAGAAAAACTGATGGGCAGTTCTAGTCAATCCAGATGTTCTTTTATCCTGTTTTAAATGACAACGAATACAGTCTCACACAATACAATTTCATCTTGACTGCAAGAGACACTCCTGTGTGATGCCTTCAGCATGACAAAATTACTGGGCAAAAAGAAAATTGGCATTCATTTCTTCAAGGGCTGATAAACAGAGGCATTGGGATCAAGTCCAGAAGGGCTGGTCTCCACAAATTTGGAAGAGTAATGTGGGGAAACAGGACTCAGAGTGCTGGTGGCTGCAGTGTATGTTATGCTGGGCATTACTGCCATAACTTCTGCAATCTTCTGTTTTAGGTCCTTGATTTCCTGATCTTTTTGAATGATTTGCCCTGAAAACAGCAAATAACGTCACTTAGAAGCAGCAGCATGTTTTCACCCTCCACCAACTGTTCAATAAGAGCTGCTGAAGCAAAACACCCAGAAGACATTCAGTGCTCTAATGGGACATCAGTACAAGCACAACTCACATAACTCCTGGTTCGTGTTAACAAACTATGTTTAATTACCTCTAGTTACCAGGTACCACTAGACATAGCATTTTGCATAGATTTTTCATTGTTTGGGTTCACAGCTGCACCATATCAAAAGATTTTTTCTGTGGCTCAACTCTTCTCTGCACTTTTCCATTCACATTTTACAAGCAACTCACAAGAGTAAAAGTGTTTGCTTATTAAATGTGTTATTTATTTTCAAAACTGTCCTATTCTTACCATTTTTCTAAACCCCCTTTGTGCACACTCATGTCACTACAGCAATTTATGAAACAACAAAAAAGAAACGAAACAAAAAAATTTCTCATGCTAATCAAATTATCAAATTTTCCTGCAACCAAGCAAACTTCTGCAAGGAAACTAAACAACTACTAAATCAAAAGGTTATTTAATTTTGCTTTGCAGTTTGCACAGCTGATCCAAGGACAGTCTGGGCAGGGTTTTATGCTGGCTTCACGCTCCCTCTGGTGGCTGCAACAGCAGCCCAACACGGACACCAGTGCCCACGCTTCCTCACCAGTGTGAAGTTTAAACCAGGTTGGGTTATTTCCCCCCCCCATTTTGGTTGTATTTACTTCAGGAGTAATACAATATTCTTAGGATTCAAGGACAGGGGCTTAATAGATGGAAACTATTGTTTTATCTTCCAATTCTTTAAAAGTTCTCCAGCTTTAAGGTAATGCCTTATAAAAATGTAGAAAATCATCATAAATTAACTTAAATGCCCATCCTGATGTTTATTGTCTCAGTTCAATAGCTTGGGGAAATAAGGTCAGCTGGATTGCTTAGGCTGACATTCACAAAGCTGCAGAATACAAAAACCCACTGAAAGCTGAAATGCTGAGTGGGGGACCATAGCCCACCCCTAAATAAAAAGGTAGGATATTCTTTCTGTGCATTTTCATGATTTCAGTCAGTACTACGTGTTGAATTCAACTATCCCATATTACCTTGGGCAATCTCAAGCTGCCGTTTTGCATCTCCTAACGCAGAGAACAGATCCAGCTTGATTCTTGTCTCTGCACTCAGGCTGTTCTCTAAGTGCTGTGTTTTATCCTGCATGGCTGAAAGTGCTGACATTAACACCTCCGTATCCTTCTCATTTTCCTTGTACTTCCGCAGTTCCTGTAGGAGTAATTAGGACAAATGTTATTCTCATCGACTTTACACATGAGATATACTGAGAAGTCTTTCTCTTCCCCACAGCACACCACTGGGCCTGGTATTAATACTGTAAAATTAAAATGATGGTTAATTAAGGACACTGTAATATTACCTCCAGTAATTATACACGACCATCATACAAGTGATTACAGCCATATTGTACAATGCATAATTACAGTGTGGTGAGCAAGTACCATTTACTCTGCTTCTCAGCCCTCTATCATCTGATTCGAGACCCTCCACCCAGAAATCCTCCCCAGCACTTCCAAGTGCCAGCTAAGCAGCCGCAGAGTCCTCTCAGCCAAGCTGTGGAGTATGAAAACACTTCCCACGAGCAAAATGGCTAGACTGGGGACTGATCTCTTGCTAGACAGTTTAAAGTGATACTAAATAAGCATCTTAAGCTGTTTCAGTTGGCTGCTGAGAGGGATTTCTTTATCTCAGAATACTTCCCACATTGAACCTAACTGTGCTGCAATCCCATAAATTTAGAAAAAAGAAAAGGAGGGAGCAAGTATTTTGCACATGAGAGACAGGCACCTTGTGGCTGGGAAGTATGCAATAACATTGTGACTAAGAAAAAAGAAATACTATACACAAAAAGAAGTTCTATACTTTTGAATGAAGACACAATAATACAACAGGGGAAATATTAATGCCTGTACCAAAAAGCTTCTCTAACAGTTTGAACATGTTAATAAAATTTAAAAGCTTGACTATAGCTGGTTTTAGTTCTTTGAAATCCATGCTTATATTTTCCATGTATAAACCATACTTGTTGTCAAGGGTTTGGCAAACCCAGTAACAATAATGCTGCATACGTTATTTGGAAACAAGTTCACAATAACACCAGGTGGATTTTGAAGTGTCTAAAAAACCACAAGACGTTAAAAATACATATTCATGCAAATTGTCAGTTGACAGTCCAAGTACATCTTTAGGAACAGACATTTTGAAAGGGTAAGGTCAACTTTAACTCACACATTTGAGCTCTTAAACTCTAACATGCCAGACAACGTGTCTGCTACAAGTCTACCACAATATACTTTCAATATTCAAGCACTTCCACCCAAAAAAATACGTCTGGCCAGTAATTAAGACTGCACTGAGTAAGCAATCTTACTTGCTAGCAGTGAAATTTATAATGATACATACTGGCAACAAGATAAACACATTAGACAATGTTGCTGAGGGAATTATATTCTCAGTCCAGCCAGACCATTGGCTCGGGGAAAAAATTCTAATAATTTAAACAATTGAATGGTTTGGAGCTGAGACTATTAACCTTTCTCATGCCCACGTTCTTACAAAGTCTGATGCAAAAAATGCAAGACAGACATCTGAAGAGCATAATTCTTGACAGTGTTGATTGCCTCTTATGTAGATCCACCAATTTCAGAGGGCTGAAAGCACTCATTGTGATGCTGATCTAAGCCTCTGGTGCTTTCTCATTACCTGAACTTTCATTTCTAGTTCTCGTATCTGATCTTCTTTCAGCTTTATGTCAATTGTTAGCTTCTTGCACTCTGTCTCCAGCTCTCTGATTCGATTTCGTAAAGTTTCAGTACATTCTCCTCTGCAGAAAAAAACATTAAGAGAGAAGATGAAATAAGAATGAGGCTGTCACTCCTGAACTTTTCCATGTTTATAACATGGAAATTTATATAAATATTGGAGGATAGAAAGAGGAAACTAACTTTTCTACTCAACAAGAAAATTTCCCTTGTAGCAATGCAAAAAGTTGCAAAAAGTTACTCAATGTTATGCCTCAAGTATTAGGAAATTTGGAATATTTATGAGCTATGGAGAACAGAAAAGCAGAAACAATTCTTTTTAGACATTTGGAGCACTGCGCATCAAAGTCATCCACACTTATGCAATGCTTTCATCTCAAAAAATTTCCCATCTATACAACTATGTTACCACTGAAACACCACTGTGCTGAGCACCGGTAGTCATTGGCTTGAGCAGAAAAGTTCAAGATGTGAGATCAAGACAGTATTTTGGCCAACGTCGTTGCGTGAATCCTGGATTCACAGTCCCCACATGAAAGAGGATGGTCCATTTTTTAAAGCAGACAGACCCACGCAGAGTACAACATCTCTCTGTTAGCACAATCAAGGTACAGCAGATAATTTAGAGCCTATTCACCCTTTACACCCTGTAAATGTAGTGTGTATGAGTACTGAGACTCAGCTTCAGAGGAGATCTCCCACTGCCTTAACACAAATAAACCTCCCAACACAAACAAAGCTTTTTTTAGGGGGAAAAAAAAAAAAAAAAAAAATCAAATACAGACTATTCCTTTATGTACAGAAGAGTGAACAATGCCTCCCCAAATCCCCCCTAAACACACTTCAGTAGCAACAGCTATGTTTCAGTAATTTTCTGGAGCTGAGCTTGCTTCTGGGATAGAACAAAATACCTTGTAGCAGCAGCAAAAGCAACAGCACGTGCAGCAGTTGCCTCTTCCAACTTCTTTCTTTTCTTTTCTTCCATTAATTGTTTTTCTACAAAGGCTCGCGCTTCCTGCTCTGCCTTTAGTTTCTTCTCCAACTGGCTGATCATTTGTTTATCTTTTTGTTTCATTTGTACAGCATTGTGTAATCTGGAAGGTAACAGGTATGGGAATTTAATGGATTATTTTATTTACTAAAAATAAATTGCTGTCAATGTTCCCAAACAAGTTGCTGGATTTGTAGACAAGTGCCTCGAATTTTGTAGAATCTTAACATGACACTTCCCCTTTACCAGACTACAGTCATCAGCAACGAATTTACACAGCAACGTAGAAACACATACTTGTTCTGAAGCAGTTCATTTTCTTGCCGGAGCTGTCCGATTTCAGACCGAATTCCCCGCTCTGTGTTAGTCAGAGAACTGATCTGACTACGTAGCTCCTGCTCGATCTGCCTGCTCGCTTGCAGGTCAGCCTTTAACTTTTTAATATCTTGTTCCAACCTAAGAAAGACAATTTTAAAAAACAATTTCAACTATTTCCCAAAGGTTCAAGCACATTATAAAAGTAAACAGAGTAAACATCATGCCATCTGCTAACCTCCCCAAACCCTTCGTACTTAAAACAATCAACTCAGAAATTACGTCTATCCTTGCTAATTAATAATGTTGTATATAACTATACATATATAGCTCTATCTATAGCCATACACACACTTCATAAACTCCCACAGGAATTTTGTTTTCCTCCATGCACTACAGAGTTGTAAAACAAATCCAACAAAATTACATTTTTCCTCTTCAAGCAGAAGTGAAATGGGTAAGGCTCAAAAGTTGTAAATAAGGACAGCTGCACACATGAAGAAATATTACTTTTCTCAACAAATTATGAGTTTAATTTGTTAGTTATAGCTGAGCTATGCAGCATACTGCTGAATTCTCACCTAAACTTTTTTTTTCTCCCCCTTGAAGTACATGATGTGCATGTTGAATAAAGAGTATGTGTTAAGTCATCCACAGTTCAGGAGTCAGTAAATTTAGTTTTAATTGCTCCTGAACAGAGACCATCTGCTATACATTTAACTGTAGCTTCTGAAAGTTCCTGAAGACTCAAGTTTATTAATTAAACTATTTTCAACCAAAATTGGTTAAATAAAGAATGTTTCTAAAGAGAGGCATCCAGCTCACCTTACTTTTTTCCCCCCACATTTTCAAAATAAGATCGAGTCTTAGAATGAAAACACATCACAGGTGAATAATCAACCATTTTTTATAAACCCCATGTTACAAATTTATTTAAACCTAATACACCTCTCAGTCATTCACACGTAATCCTCATTTGCTCTCTCAGTTACTGATTTTAAATTTTTTAAATGTTCATAAAAAAGATAAAGACGTTCTTATTTCCCAAAGTTCCGTACAGAATTAGTGGTAGTTGAACATTGAGACTTGGGAAAAATATTCACAAAATCCCAAATGAACTGCCCTTTTTGACATTCACTAGCACAGATAAATGGTAATAGCTTTTTGTCCTTGTAATGAAAACACTTAGCTCTTTTGGGCTTTAGTGCAGGAAAATCTCAACCTAAAATGCTAGTGAGAGATGTAACAATACGAGGCGTAAGAACATCATGTGTGAATGAATCAAAAGGTTAAATGTGGAATCATCAAACTTATGGAAATTCATAAAAGTACATCTGTAATAGGCTGAAGATGCACTGACGAGGTCTACTGGGTAAATTAACAGCAAGAAACAGCCTATAAAGGAGCGTGATCTATAGTACACTTGTATAACTCAAATGCTCAGATACCACTTTTTACAGGTGCACTGTCTTTCTATTTGCACTTGAACTGCCCTACTGGTAAGAATTCCTTTTAATATAGTATACATTGTGGTCAAATGTACCTTTAAAAAGAAAAAAAACAACTTATACTCATTAGGCAAATATTAATAATACAAAACAAATACACATTTCATATTGAAGATGACAAATCATTTCAACACTTTGTACTCTGATGAAAAGAATTTGCAAACCTAACTAAATATTCATTCAACCATGTAACCATAGCACACAAACAAAAATGGAAAACCCATCAGCAGACGTTACTAGGTATGTATTTTCACCATGCTCAGTATGTTAAGTGATAGAGCTGGACAGTCATTGGGTGATGATATAACTGCTCAGTGTAACCTTCCAATAAACAGCAACTGTTTTCAAAAGAGCAAACTTATTAATTGAAGAGAGTAAGATGCTGAAGGAAGCATTAACAGACTGTTTTCTGCCAACAACTGACTGGTTTTAATATGTTTCAATAAATAGGTGAAAATGGTTGGTAGGACAATGTAAAGGAATGCACATATATCACACACACTTTACACTGATAAGTATCCATAAATAATTTCAACATAAATGTCTACAATAAAGTGATAACTGTGAAAACAAGACAGCTGTGAACAGCCTTTTCCCTATAACTAAGACTATGTCAAACTTCCTCAAAATAAGATATACCAAGATTTATTTTGGGTATTTAGTATTCCAGGAAAAGAAGCACTGATCAGGTAAAGCCCGAATAAATCAGAGATGCTGGCACAGGACAAGCTGAATTTGTATTTTTGGCAGCAGAGTATTGACATTAGTTCAAACTTCTTAAGCCATCTGGTTCATGGCATTCCTGCCGGCTTCAATGAGGGCTCTGTACCTGCAGTGCTCATGGGGCTGGTCCAGACTGTGCTGTAAAGAAAGATAAAACCTGTGTGATCTGTAGGGTGCACACAAACGTGACCAGAAAGGATGCCTGCTTTCCAAGCCAGGAGGAAATATAAGAGGCCACAAGCCTTTCTTTTTCACTCAGCAGAGGTCCAACCAGAGCTGCATACATTAAATTTGTGAGAATCAGGATCGGGAAATGTTGCACACTCATGACACATCATTCAAATCCTGCCTGAACACAGAGCCAATGTCTCCTCCTTAACTTTTCAAGCATGCGCCAAGCGTCAGATATTCATCCTTTTACTCTGAAGGAACACAGGGGACTTTGGGTAACTTTTATAGGAAAATAAGACCAACCTGACATTCTTTATAACTTTCACTGTAAAAACACAAAGGAGTCAGGATTAAACTCAAGAATTGATCAAACTCTGGGTGCTTCCATTGTTTATGAAAAACCAGTAGCCACACCACTAAAACCCATCCAGGCAGACCATGTAGCGATAGAATATTACTGCCTAGGAGCAGCTGGTGCTGTTCACCTGCAACCCTTCCTTCACTGAACACTGCAGAGAGGAGTTTCTTTTCTTAGAAACTGCCAGCAGGTGTAAAGTGGGAACTGAACACCTTATGCATCCATGAAAACACAAAGACTCTCCTATTTACTAGCCACTACAAATGTGCTCACAGTAGCTCAGGAGTGAAAGAGTGGCAACTTAAATGGTTCGACTTACTCTAATCGAGGAATTCCAGTACTTCCACACATCTGATTTTTTCAGACCACCATGCAGTTAAGAGTTTTTATTCTGTTGTGAAACAATCATTCCTATCGGTACAGATGATCTTAAACGGTTGAACTTAAACAGTCAAAAGACAGAATAACATATGTAAAACATGATCAATCTACATACACTGAGTGACCAAGTATTGTAGTGCAGTTCCAAAGGCTCAGAAGAGAATTAATACAGAGAAAACTAATCTCTTTCAAGTCAATGGCAGACAAAATCACTGGAAATTTCTGTCGATGGACTTGTTTAGAAATGTTTTAAAGTAAGATTTTACCAATTTTAATTATTTCTTTTCATGATGTCATAGTTTTTTGCTATAGCTTTAAATACCAGAGCAGATGTTTTCTGCAATTTATAGAGCAAATAAATGCTCCTTACTATCTAAAATGTGTTAGGAAGCTAGTAATTCATCATAATGCAAGGACCAAATGTTTCCTATATGGTTCCTCTCCCAGACCTGCCACAATTAGCTAGAGATACAATTTAATTACCAAAAAAAAAAAAAAAAAGACATGAAGTTTGTTTCCCCTCAAAACCACATGCACTCCTTACATTCTCTGGTGTGTAACCATGTTCTTATCCATCTTATAAAGTCCAGTCAAACATTCTCAGCCTACAAATTTCCTCCTGTTGAATGGCAAGACAAAGCTCTTCTCTGTATATAGACAGAGAGGTCATCCATCATTTTCACAGCAATACAAGGAGATTAAAACCAGCCTTTCTGTTGCTCCCTTTCTAAAATGAAAGAACATCATCAGGGTAAGCCAATACAATGTCATAAAAGAAAGCTTTGCTGCTACAAGCACAGACTAGCGCGTGAAGTTTTCCCTCCTCCTCCCCATAATAGTCTGCACTACTGTTACAATGATAAATGACCCAATAAGACTGCTTTTTTTTATTATTATTATTCTTTCTACCATTTCATTTTCTGCTTAAGTCTCTTATTTCCTGGCTTATTGGAAAAGTTATTTACAAAGGGCGGTTGAAGAAAACCTGCGTTCTAGAAGATACTTTTCTCTATTGCTGCATAAACTACAAGTCATTCTGACACACAACTATTTTTAAAACGAGGGTTTAGTTGCAGATTATTACATTGTGCTGTTTATACAACCAAGGCCAATTTCTTTCGGTTTGTCATTACTATAAATGCAGATTTACCCATTTTCTTTTCTCAGCACTACCACATACCATTCTTGATCTCACTGATGAAGAAAATTAATCAGTAATCATTGCCAAGACTGAGTATTTTTCCAAAAGCTTCAGGGAAGATTGATGGATCAACTTAAAGACAACTCAATTCAGCTTACTCCTAAATATCAGAAACTGGTGAATAACAAATCCTTGTTCCTTAGCTTACTTGGTTAATTCAATTCCATAATCACTTGGCAACTGCACACAAATTAAACACAATTTATATAAAAAATAAAGTTGTAAAAGACCCAGAAGGCACTCAGGTGCTTTTCTAAGAAACCCATTTTCCTTTTTTATGTTCTGGCCCAAACTGTTTGCATAAGCACTGGCCACAGTGAACCTACTTCTCTGAAACAGCCAATGTGATCCCACAGCATTGAGGTTCTCCTGCTGTAACTGATATGCTGTTACTAGCAGCTCCTCAGAGCATTTTTCATTACCAAAAAGACAGTAATCCATAGAGAGAAAGCACAGTTACTTATTTTTTTCCTACGCAGAACTGATCCAAGTAGCTGGCATTTCAAAAGGTTATTCTGTTTCTGAACAGTCCAAGCACCATGTTGACAGTGGCTTGAAAATGGTCTGCTAGAAGGATCATCTCCCAGATTTCTAATTTACATTCCCAATTCTTTTGTTTTTCTATTCTATACTTTCCTTCACTGCCATCATATTGCATGAAACATTGACCATCTCCCCCACTTCAGCTGACAGCAGAAAACCTTCTGGTATACTAATGGCATTTCAGGCGGGGTGGGTAAGGAAGAAGCAACAATCACTTTTAGGACACCAATGGTGCCACAAAAGATGTACAACAATTAGCATCGAATGGACAAAAATTTACATTAAAACCTTCAAGTCGGTCTCTGCAGGTAATATCAAATTTTGGGAAAGTAAAGTAAGATGTGGTAGACCAGCCCTTGCTTCACAAATATTTTTCTTAGTCCAATTGCCAGAAGATGCCATTGTTATCTCAGAGAATAATTAGTACATAAGACAGCTTGTTTCAACACCTCATGTGCCAAAGGCAAGACCTCTGTGGATACAAACAGTTTTTGCCAAGCTGCACTGCCAGTTTTTTGTGTGTGGTTTCTGGTGGGTTTTGTTTTTGTTTTTGTTTTTTTTAAGAGTGCAAATAGCTAGAGGCAGGATGTGATTTTTACTGTGTAATATGCAACACGCAAAAATTCTGCAGCAATTACAGCTTGGACTTGTTCCATACATCAAGGCCCTAAAACATGAACAAAGCCTGCTGCATCTCAGAAGTGACAGTGGGACAGTAACAAGAAGCCAACTTGCTCTGTACCTACTGACAAACAATATTAAAGTAAAGGGATACCATATTTTTCCATCCACTGGGTACCAAATTTATCCCTCCATTGGCCCAATTACCATAGCGTTGCAACATAAGCTGCTCAGATCACAAAGATTTGATTAAATGCCTGACAAACAAACAGCAGATTTCAGCATTCATCAGAAGTAGATATTCAGATGATGATCCCATGGCTGGAGCAGCTCCCCTGGGGGGCCGGGCTGAGAGAGTTGGGGGGGTTCAGCCTGGAGAAGAGAAGGCTCCGGGGAGACCTTCGAGCGGCCTCCCAGGGCTTAAAGGGGGGACAGGAGAGGGGGGGAGGGACTCTGGGTCAGGGGGTGGGGGTAGGACAAGTGGTGACGGTTTTAAACTGAAAGAGGGCAGATTTAGGTGAGATCTGAGGCAGAAATCCTTCCCTGTGTGGGGGGTGAGGCCCTGGCCCAGGGTGCCCAGAGCAGCTGTGGCTGCCCCCTCCCTGGAAGGGTTCAAGGCCAGGTTGGACTGGGCTGGGGGAAGGGGGCCCTGCCCGGGGCAGGGGGGGGCACTGGGAGGGCTTTAAGGTCCCTTCCAACCCAAACCAGTCTGTGAGTCTATGATTCATTTCAACTGTAGGAACAAAAAAAAACTAAGACAGAGATCACTTTCAAGGCTGATCTGCAGGGACAGAGCCTCTTGAACTCTTTGCTCTAGGTATCAGGATGACTATAACATAACATAATATTCACTGAAATACTTAGAGATAGGGATCACTAACTTCCTCTGCAGGAAACTAAATACATATGCACTAACTACCAGACAGAGCAAAAATAAAAACTTACTGTTTCAAATAAGAGTAATATCGTGTATGTAAAATATAAACTTAAATTGATTAGCAGTATCATTTCAGATATAAATGTCACACCAACTATTTCAGAGACAAAGTTAACAAGCATGCAAGACTGTCTTGTTCTCAAAAACCCCTGATCTTCACTGTCTTGAGTAACCCCTGTTAATTCTGAGTCCCTTGCAGTTGTAAGGCATACTTTACATTTAATACTGGTTAGTCAGCTCAAGGAAATAATATGTGAACACAAAAGGAAAGCAGCTTGATTTTGACATCCTGCTGAGACTCTGCTGGACAAGAAGTTATAAAAAGCATCTTCATTTGGAAGCTGAGCAGATCTGATCTGAAAATCAGACACAAATGCAGGACTTTACCCAGCCCTTCTCAGGGTACAGCACTGATGCAGACTGAAAGTTTAATAACAGGAACGAGTACTACTACTGGAAGTGGAAAAGATGATGAACAAATGCCTTACACTCCAGGGACAGGATAACTGACAAGTTAAAAAAAATAAACATGAATTTTTAAATGTAAGTGCATTCTATGCCATCCAATTTGTCAGGTAAGTTTATGCTTCCATTGGTGTAGGAGTTACATACTCAGTCTGAATAGAAACAAGATTTCATGAATGATTTCAGTCATCTACATTTGTAAGAAACTGTGAGCAACAACACACGGGACATTGGTGTTTTAAGTGCTCCTGGCTTGCCTGCAATGGGGAAATCAGTGCACAATAAGCAGCTACATGAAGCACAACAGCCACATCACACCCACGCATCACACAGAAACACTTGACAAACAAGAGACTGGAGTAGCTTAATTCACTTTCAGGGCAGAGTAAGGCTACATTGCACAAAGGCATTTCCAGAGTACACAAATTGTGTACTCCATCCCTACCCAGTGAATTAGGGGAGCTAGAATTCAATGAGGGCACAGTCTAGTTTATTGTATACTCACTTTGTGCATTAGAAAACCCACTTCAGACAATTACAATGATCACGTGGTCTAAGCTCACATTACAGCATATAAAATTTTCAATGTGTAATTTAAAACTTAAAACATGTAAGGTTTAAATCTCATTCCTTGTCATAGCTACATGGGACAAAATTCTTAATCTGGCAGGTCATTCTGTAAAGCATTTCCCTTCTCTTAAGACTTATGAATGATTTTTTGAACTGCAGCAAAGCTGAACTGACCTGTTCTCCTCTTCAGTGAGCAAATAGCCATATAAAGAGTACAGAGATGCCCATCTGAAACTGGCAGAGGAATACAGTTGTCCTGTACATGCTTGTTTAGATATAGCTTTGCTGAAGATAGAGCCATCTGCATCCATTAATCTTGGCTGAATTTGATTCACAGATTAGACTGATTAGCTGATCTCTTATTTGCTTCATACAAGTTCTCTACAGACATTAGGTATCAATTAGTCTGGGTATTTAATTGACAGAGTGATTATCAGAGGATAAAATATTATTTTCATTGAAGTAATTGTAGTCACATAGCACAAATCCTCAGAGACAGACCAGAGTCAAAAGTCCAATCATCAAAAGATACCTGCAGGGAAAGCAAATCTGCCCATTAAGTTAGTCAACAAGGATGTGTTGGCCAAAGAGTGTTCGGCACATGAGGAAAGGAAAAAGAGAGACCTAAATCAGGAATGGGAGGAAAGTGCATAATTGTGCAAGGGTTTTGTTCTAGACGTATCTCTTTGCCCATTCCGAACTGCTACATACTACCTCTTTCTTACAAGTACTTGTTCTGGTAACATATGACACCACCGAAGGTCTCATGACTTACATGCTGTAAGTACTTAGCTGCATTTCATACATACACCTTTATTTAAACTTCAGATAAGCATACGTAAAGATGTGACTTCTTCAATCTTTATAGTTTACAAGGCAGCTAAATTAAATCCCTGTGACCTGTACTTAAACCCATAAGGCAGCAGGTATGCAAGCAAGAACCTGAATTTATCACTTTAAGGAGTTACACAGTAGCTGATACTTTGTATCTATACTTGGGAATTGAAGATTAACACATAAACCAAACATTTAAAGGCGGAAAAAAAAATCAAAACCAACAAAAAAACAAGACAAAACACCTGCTCAGGCTCTATCGAACCCCACTGAATCCCCTGGAGATGTAAAGGTCACTCCACGGAAGGTTTGTCAAGAACACACCCAATGAGCTCTGTAACAGTGATTCTCCACATTTCTCTCATGCCTTCCATCAAATGGTTGTCAAAGCTATTTATTATGCCTCACAACACCCCTGTGAGGTAGGTAAGGGTCGTATATTGAGTTAGAAAGCAAGCAATTTGCTTTCCAGGCTGCATAGCAAACCAGAAGCAAGAATCAGGAATGGAACCTAGAAGGCACAGTTCCTAGTTATCTTATTCCACTACTAGAAAATTAATTTGTTACTGATGATCCCATAAAGACATTTTCCTAAGAAAAAAAAAAGATCTGATGTACTGGAACGAAGGGAGGATAAGACAGGCTGTTACACAATGCTCAGATCAAACTTACCTTACCAGTGCATCTGGTTTGCTTAGCTGGTTATTAGGAATACAATTTTCCATTAAGTCCTTATGTGTGCTTGGGCTCTTGCTAGCACATTTCTGTTTTTTCTCATTTTTAGTAGATGAGGAAGGGATGCTCCCGTTAGTTGCACTGTGACTGCGAGGTGAGGAGTTCACAACTCCGCTGACATTTTTGTAATTTTTGGACGAGGCAGTGCATGAGTCCTCTTTTAAGAGGTTTTCTGTACTTCCTACAAGATCATTATTTAATCTTTTACTATTGATATGGTTTTCCATATATTCAATTTCTTGTATTTTAGAGTCTACAGGTTGCAAAATATTGTTATTTATTCCAAGGTTGTGTTTCTTAGCATCCTTGTCCTTTTCTTTCCCTTTTTCTCTATATTCTAGCTCTGGCAACGTTGCAGATATTTTTTTATTGGCTGGAATGCCTCCATTGTGCTGCAAAAGTATTGAGGAATCCATATCAGATAATCCTTTGGCTGCTGCAATACCAAAATAAAAAGAAATACTTAGTTCATTAAATCAATCAATACTGTGACATACACAGAAAAATCATTAAGTGCACATCAATCATTTTTGCAGAAAACAATCATTATTAGAGTCTATCTAGAAAAGAAAAGCAGAAGTCACATGACATTTTAAGACTTTTTTCTCATTACAGGCAGGAAACAGTAACCAAGGAATTTAATAATAAATACTAGTGCTTCACAGAACACTGACTGACTAGATTGATGCAGTTGCTAATAAAGAAGTAAACAGAGAGGACATAATTCATTTCTACTGTCATACTAACCACTGCCAAAATAATTTATTTCTGGCTCCTCTGTTTCTAAGTCCACTGTACTTTCATCAAAACAACATGGACTAAAGAAGTTCTTCCTTAGCAGGCTTTTTTTTAAAAAATAGCAGATAATAGCAAACACATTAAGTAATAAGTATAACTTGCCTTCCTCTGCCTCCCGCTCTTGCCTTTGTAGCATCTGCTGTTCTGGGGGCAGAGCTTGTTGGAGAAGTTGCATGTAGAACTCATTCTCTTTCTGCACTTCTTTTTGTTTTCTTAAACGCATTTTGTAGCTGACGTAACTTTTAAAGCCAAAGCCCAAAGTCACAACAGGGTAGCCAATACTAAGAAATAAAAGCAACATTATTATTCAAAATATAACCACAAGAGCAAATTAATACATTGTAATAAATTATATAGCTGTGAATACATCTGGATTACAACTTTTCATAGAAAATAATATATAAAATGGGTTTTTGCTGTACTACAATAAAGCTACAGTTCAAAAACGTAGGCACCTCTTTATCAAGACAAAATTACAGTTCATTACAGACAGCAATTAACAGTAGCATGGATTAAAGGAATACGACAATGCAATTGCACTACGCATAGCAACGACAGCTTTTAGACAAGCACCAGAGTAGGAATTATGAATCTTTTAAGGAGATAAGAGCCAAATATAGCAGAAGCTCCCAAGTTTTGTTGTTCCTACAGGGCCATGTAATATGCAGTATGTGTTAATAAACATTCATCCAGGAGAGTGAAAGAAGAAACTGATCCTTAGCCCCATCCTTTTCCAGTCCAAAATTAAGAGCAGATCCCTTGTCCACCGCTCTTTAAAGCCAAGACAAAACAATGGTTTTCCAAAACACCGCCTCTGCAAGAGGCCCTGCGGTACCTTCTCGCTGCAGCCCAGGCTGAGACACAAGAGCTGCAGAAGCCGCTGGAACACAGAGCTTTGGGGCTACTGCACTCCCGGGGGGCCAAGGCTGTGAGCCCAAGTGCCATCACCCACACGGGGTACAGCTAGCAGTGACCCTGGGGGTAAAGCCTCCATAACCACCTGCCTCTGCTGAGGATGGCCACGACTGAGACATCTTCTGTGGGCAACAAACAGCCCTTGAAAATTCCTTGTTTAGGAGACTGACCTTGAAGCTGTAAGCAAAACACATCTAATCTCTAAACCTAGTTCTTCCACTTATCTTACTGACAGATAAGATATGAAGAATTTCACTTCCAGCCAGACTCTGCTGTTCCATTTGTTGATGGGGATGACAGAAGCATAACAGAACTCTGGAATTATTTTTTTTGCGTATCAGGTTAATCACACAGAATTTAAGTATTCTTATTAGCTTGTGACAACTGTACCAAAACAGAATGCTAACAAAACATGCTAGTGTATTTATTAACAAGGATGCTTGATCAATGAGCAAACACCCCTGTATAAAAATAAAAATATCTTTGACAAGTATTTTAACAAAGCACAGTGAAGCTGCGTTTTAAACACTGAAGGTATACTAGATCAGGGGAAAACTCAGATGCAGATGACTATTAACCATTAAAATCTTCTCATTCTTTGCTCAGTAATAGCACTGTGCAAATTGCATTTGTAAGTAAGTTGCCAGAATGCAAGAATCATTTGCATATGCATCTGACATTATCTCTGCCAATGCTTCTTTTGTAACACTGTGTAAAGCCAGCTGTAGCTACAGTTCTAAAACTCTGATGACAAGCTGAAATGTTTGCATCCAATTCAGCAGCAGAAAGACCTTTCTTCACAGCTCCTAAGTGCTTTTGGAACCTATTATAGAATTTAATTAGTGTTTAAGGCATTTATTGCACAATGTAGACAATATAAATTAAAATGGCAGATGTCTAATTTATTAGAGACTGTATCACAGGGAACTGGACCAAATGACTCCAGGAAAAACAGGACACATTTTAAATGTAGCCCAATCAATGCAGACTACACTAAAAACTTGCAGAATAAAAGTGCATTTCTTCCAGATATGGATACTCTGCAGTTAAGTCTTTTGCCTCAAGTCACTCTTATCACTTCCAAAGAAGTGGTGTAGTAAATAATGTTTGGTTTTTATTTTCTGTCATGATTTTCAACCTGAAGCTTATTCACTTCCTCTGGTGAATTATGAAATCAGATGCTCATGAGAACCCTTCTTGTTGGAGGGGAAAAAGAGGAGTGTTTTGTTATAGAAAAATTAGAATTTCATAATGGGATACATAAATTATCAGTAGAAGTAGCAAAAAAATAGTTTCATTATGTATTCATTCACTATATATTCATTATGTAAATACAAATTTGTAAACCAATGACAAGAATTTTCAAGAAATGCTAGGACTACAGCTCACAAACCCTGTATCTTCAGAAAGGTTGCACTTCGTTAGCGTTCAGCATATATTTCTCGTGGAATATTTAATGACAGATGTGCAAGGGGAGAACTGAACAGCCTGAACCAAAATAAAAAGCCCTGAATATTAATTTCCCTGGTGAAATAAAGGTTAATGAGAAAAGGAGAAATAAACACTTACCAGTGTGCTGCAAATGGACGACAAAGGTCTACATGGAAGTTTTTTAAATCTTTAAATCTAATGGCTGCTTCAATATAAACAAAAAGTATCCACAGTGATACTGTTGGTAGGCACACACCCCTCTCTATTGAGAGAAGACAAAAAAAGAAACAAACACCTTAGTAATATACTACAAGCAGCAAATATTTTAAAGTTACTTTTAAAACATTCCAAAAGTCAAGGGAAATTTTCAGACAGACATATAGGAAATTGTAAGAGGTTGGGTTTTTTTTTTTTCAGATGAGAGTACCTGGGATGTCTTTATTTTAAACCAATTCTCAACTTTTGCCTCCTTATCTTGCTTTATTACTTTTATAAGGCATCAGTGAAAAATAACAGATGCACAGCTAATGAAATAGCTTGGCACAAAACCCTATACGGAGAAGGAACACAAATGGAAGAAACTGCAGAAGATGAGGTAATGTTACAGCTTATGATCTTTGAGTCAGAAGTGGTAAGCTTGGACTACTTTTTCACTCCAAGTTAGGTATATCTTAGTAGCAGCAGTGAGCAAATCAGCTGAGAAAACAGGAGTGAGTAAGCACAGTACTGGTTACTCCATATACAGTAATGCAGACAACAGTCCGCAACTCAAAACTCTACATCAGGGGAACATTTAGGACGCTGTATTGATTTCTTTCTCCAGCACTACTGGTGAGAATGTAAAACAGAAGCCAAGCAAAACTGAGGTCTTAAACCTCTTGGCCAATGGAAAATGCCACTGTTGCTTGCAATATAGCCACTGTAAATTTCCACAAATCAATTCCAGTTACATGCCACAAGCTTCATAAAAATAAACAAAGGTCTTGATTACATACTGACAGCAACATATTGTGTGCTGATTTGGAAACAGGTCTCAAATTAGAGACTAAAAAGAGCATTACTCTGAGGCCCTGAAGTTATTTACTGTGGTCTCTACTTTGGTCTCTCTTGAATAGCTGCACCCTGCAAAAATGAGAAACCTATAGCAGAAACTGTCAGCTTAAAGGGACCAAACATTTCAGCTAGGTAGACATAGCATCAAAAAAGATCGTAACTTCCTGAAAAAAAAAAAAAAAAAAAAAAGGAAAGAAAAAGAGTAAGTTCCCATCAACTTAGATGAGCATTTAAGAAACAAGAATCCCTAAGGTTGCAATGATTTAAAATATTAAACAAGCTCAATAGCTACAGTTAAAACTGGCCCATCATGTTTTTCCTTCAGGGTTTCTAAACATCAGCTCAGAGAGCAACTTCAGATAACGCTTTAACATCTTAATACAATCCTAAAAATAACTTCATATTTTTTACGTATTTTAAATTGGGCAGCAACTGGTTCACAGTATCTTCCATTAGCTCCCACATCATCATTATTATAAATGACTAACTTGTCAGAAAGATGACTGCTTTCACCAGTAAGCTGAGAAATGATCTGTACTATCTGGGAAATTCTTGTGATCTGATGGCAAGTCTAACATGAAATATTATAAAAGCCTCAAATCCCAAGGACTTGGGTAGGGAAAAGTTATCTCTAAAATAACCCACAAGTTTTATTCCTAAAATTTTCCGATTGAGGGAAGGACATATATGTAACCTACGTCAAGTATCTGTGCTCACGCAAACTAAACCACCTCCCCCAGTCCAACTGCTGCCCCAGAACCCAAGGATTTATTAAAAGAAACCCCAAACAACTAAGGGTAAAAAAAAAGAAGTGGGGACAATGTGCAGGGAGAAGATTTCTCCATACATGTGTCAAACTGTTGGGGCAGCCACTGGTATTCTGAGCCTTTTTTGCTCAAAAACGGAATCCAGTTGACAAAGATTTGACCAATACGAATTTAAAACTATGATAATATCCAAAATTAAGAGCACACTAATCAGGTAGTAGGAAGAATGTAACACTTTTACAGACTTCTCGTATTGGCTTTGTATTTGCTGAATTGCTGCAGAAGTGTTCTGAAGTCAGGAAAATATTTTTTTTTTTTTTTTTACTGCTCTGAAATTCCTGTTTATACACCTTCAGTACCATTGGTCAAGCTTTAATGATTACTACAAGATGCACCCAGACATGTATCAAGTGCAAATCAACATACTAATGAAAGCAGAAGAATATTTTTAAACTATAACAAATGTGTATTAAAACAAATGTGGTAACAAATAGAAGAGGGTTTCTGTATGTTACTAAAAGCTGTAAGTTATATATATTGAAATCAGTAAGTTGTAAATAAGGAATAGCAACCTACCTGTGTGCCAGACATACTGTACCCAAACATACGTGCTGGCAGCAAAAAACAGCCATTGTATTGGTATGAAGAGCAGACATATTATATTTGATGTGAATGCTACACAAACAAAAAATACTGAAAAGGCCTAAAAGAAAGGAGGGGTGGGGGGAAAGAAGAGTGTTTTGGTTTATTCCAGCAAATATTACCAGTTTATTAATAGTGACACCACAATGATTTCAACATAGAAACACTAGTGTTGTTCATAATCAGGGCAAAGAAACGGAGCAGCCTAGCCAATGCAAGTTGAAGTTTAGCCAACTAAGAGAGAATGGGTGCAACTGGAGAATCTGTGCCCATCCACTCTTCCAACAAGTCCCCAAACAGCTATATTTATTCCTTATTATTTTGTTTAAAGACTTTTATTTACACTGTTGATATAGTATTACAATATTTTCCTTCTGGAAAAAAGAATCACAAACAACCAGCACTGTCATTTATTTTTTGAAAGAGTAGCAAATATCTAAACAGGCATGGGCTTCCATTTTATTTTAAAGAAAACCCTGTTATATAGGGATCTAAAGCAATGCATTAATCTCAGGAATTCAAACAATATTTTACTCTGGTGAAAGTTTGATAAGCTATTTATTTCACTTTCACTTGCCACAGACAAAATATGCAGTCAAAGAAAAAAGACTTGAGCCCAGGTCACCTTGTCACTTGAAAGTTCCTCCTCTTGTGAAAATGATCATCAGTGCCATTAAGTTAGTTGTATAACATGGAATATGCCCTGAGACTTTGCAGGATTCCCCTACAAAGGGACAGTAATTTTGTGTTATACTTACCAAACCCTGGTATCGGAAGGAATCGTAAACACTCCTGATGAAGAGCCAGAATGGCCACAGATACTCAAATCTGAACTCGAGGACAAAATCTGCCAACAGTACTAGGGCCCACACTACCAGGAACTTCAGGTACAGAAAAGTACTGTTAAAAAAAAAAAAAAGGTAATTTCAGGTCAGTATTTCCAACAGAAAGACTTACTTCCTTCTTTTTTTTTCTTTTTTTAATTAAAACTTCTGGAGTAAAAACTTCAGACAACTGTTATACAGATAAGAAAACTTCATCCAAATTAATTTTACAAAATAGGTAGTTTTATTATTACATTAAAATCAGGCCTGGTCTAATGAAGTTAATTATATTCAACTGCATTTGTTTTTAAAGTAGCAAGGAAACAGAAGGCTCGCTGCTCTTACAAGACATTCAGCAACAATTTCTCTTTAGCTTTGCAGCGTATTTTTACAGTGTGAAGTCTTGCCAACAGGTATGCTGTCACAGCTTAAATGTTTCTCTTCTAGCTTGCACTCTTGTACTTGGAGCTCAACTTTCTGTGTTCCCTCTCTTCAACAGACTGCAGATGTTCACTCATTTTCCACATTCAACACAAACTGCAACACCAATAAATTGAGATATATTTTAAGTCTATAACTATAGCAATTAGGAAGACTGTTTTAGATACTGAGTTGTCAGAGTTATATTTGAAAACATCCATATTAAAGTAAATGCATCCATTAAGAAAAAAAAACACCACCAAACAGAAAAATGGAGGCACATGAGACTTGAGGCCAGACAGTCTAACTTCTATTTTTTTTAATTATTTCAAAGCCACATTCCCTTATTATTAGTCCTGCATTTTGAACCACTGATGATCCTTCTTGACTATAGAGCTCAAAATATTTTGAGATCATATCTAACACAGGTGAGTTAAAGGATATGCCCAGACCATTCTGCTAAAAAGGAGGAAGCAAAAACTCAGCAAAACCCTCAAAACCCAGCACCCAAAGATGTTGCACTGTATTGGGTTATAACAAAGGTGAGGGTTTTTAAAATATATTATTATTTTTTAAATCAAGGGCAGTTTTTCCTTCTAGTAACTTATTTTCCTCCCCTATCATACTGCCAACAAAATCAGTAGAAACTTTGCCCTGGAATGTTTACTGATAAGTTGCCAAGAGTTTGCACACAGAGTGCCAGGTAGGGCCAAGTTTCTGTGCTGTTCATGGACTTCTGGCTTTTTTAGGAAGTTGTTCAGTGCTTCAGAGAAGATACAAAATAGAAAACTTCTATGAAAAGTGTTATGTACCACCAAAGGTTTAGAAGCGACTGAACGACTCGTCCAATTATCACTCCTGCTACTTGTCACACAAGGTCAGCTTCCAAACCACACGACCGGGAAAAACACTTCGTCTTCTTGTGAGTCAAAGATTAATTGCATGGGCCTGAAAGCGACCCTTATCAGCTGTCCTGGCCCTCCAGCTTTGTCTGACGGAAGAGTTTTTGTGTAGCTTTCCCACTTGCTGTATGTTATCAGGCTCTCTCCTAGAAGTCCAATGCCAAGGGTTTCACTGTGACTAGACTCCTCGAAAAGAATTGCTTCAGTGGAACTACTTACATAAATGTACTCACATAAGTACATGCTTTTAATCAGCACAAACAAAAAAATGTGCTGATAGAAAATATATTTCGAAGTCTGAGACAAATAGGCAACTATTCCTACATTTAACCAACCTCAGCCTTCCCCCCACACACACCTTTTTGAATATTCTGTATCTGGAGTTTAACATAATGGGACTGAAAAAAAAATGCAAACGAAGAGGCTACAGGAAGCACTTTAATTCAATGGAAACAAACTTAATGGCACACACACTTAAAAAAGTTAAGGTACTGCTTCTTTCAGTTTTTACAGAACAAAAATTACTCTGAGAAGAATGAAACTATAGTATAAGTATTAAAAAAAAAAAAAAAAAAACACAAAAACAACCCACAACAAAACCCAAACAAATGTCATGTTCGTCCTGGTAGATTATGCTTGCATATGCTGCTGTTCTCTGTTTTTTTAAAGTTTAGATCTTCAACAGAAATCTGTAAAAAGCAGCTGCATTCAGAGAATACTTGGACATAAAAGGTGACGGACATTTGGGTATGCCATCATCACTGTGTTCCTTTTGACCACGCTGTTGAATTGTACATGTGCAGGTCTTAAGATTTGAGAAAATATATAAAGGCATCACACCCAGGCAATCATTAGTCTGTCTGTTTAGCTGGAAAAGCAGTTGTGTTGTGTAGGCACTTTTTCTAGGGTTAAAGTTAGGGCTATTGTTTATTTTTCCGCCACTGATATCCGTAAAGAGACTACATTTTTCCTAGTAAATTGGGGTTGTTAGAACTAATGCTTTTCAACTGTTAAGTGCCACTCTAAGTTAAAGCATTTGCTGAATAAGACTTCTGTAATACAACGATTAAAGTGATTTCTAATATTAAATTCATAGCAATCTGAAGGCCATGGTGACATTTACCACCTTTTAAAGTGGAATTGTAACAATACATTTGTAATATGGTTTTCCCAACAATACTAAAGAGCCTACTTCTCAGTCATCTGAAAGACTCAAAAGCAATTAAGAATTTAATGAATATAAGACTAAGACACAAGAAAGTTATTTCCTTTTATAAAAGACTTCATCCACTTATGTTGGCCTCAGCAACAAAGTTCACTGTTGTGTAACATGTTCTACATATGTATTCAACTGCACGAGTCCACATGCATACAGGCACTTAGAGAAAACATTTTAAAGGTACTATACTACATCAATTGGTTGGGGTTTTGTTTTTTTTTTTTTTTTGTTTGTTTGTTTGGTTGTTTTTTGTTTTGTTTTTGTTTTTTTTTGTTTTTTTTTTTTTTACATCAGGACCCCCTGCCCCCTCCCAATTAAAGGACGTAGAACTGCGGAGTCAGAGACTGCAGTCCCTAACTAAACACTCCACCCAGGCTTTAAAGTCGATGTAGGCAGTGGCCTAAAGACAACAGCCCCCTCCTTGAAACGAGCTGGTTTTACAAACTGTGCTGAGCTTCTACACTGCCACAGTTACACACACAGCTGGGTTACAACCAGCTCGGGTGCCTTTGCCGCACACTACAGTCTGCAGATGGCAAGGAGTCTTTGTAGGAGGAAGAAAGAAACACAAATCTCGGCTTCCCTTCTTCCACAAAGGTACACTGCACACCAGTATGCTGCTCCTGGTAAGCACATGGCTCATCAGTTCGTTTACAAGTGCTTAGTGAACAGACACCTCTTCAATGAACACTAAATTATCGATAGCTGAAAAACGTCCAGCAAGAATTAAATCCCAAAGAGAAACAGGTCAACAGACCTCTCCTTTGGACAGGCTCATCACTCTTCTGCTGTTTTGTTTCCTAAACAGAGCATTCAAATAAGATCACATGAATGAAATGACTAGCAAAATTTAGTAATAGCCTTCCTCCCTTTCTCTGTTTTGTACTACCCACTTTTACTCCATCTTTGCTCTTCAATCCCTTGATTCTTTCCAGACTGATTCCTTCCAGACACCGTTCTTCCCTTCAGCTGCACCTCTATTGTTATCTAGTCCCTGTCCCCAGCGCGCCTCCCCTCCAACACGCTCATCCTACAGCTGAGACAGCCGGCGCTCCTTCGGAATCCAGCGCCAGCCATTTGGTGCCTGCGAACCTCCAATAGTCATTGATCTTTCTGGGCACATCCACACATTTCTCCAGATTTGATAGCTGCTGCGTCACTATCCTCACTTAGAGACAATATTCACTAGGCAGAAGTGCCTTCTGGCCTCTGTAGCCCTTATATTGGAAAGGGTCAAATATATTCCATGATGCCAATTATAATTCCAAGTTTGTTCTCAATACAGGGGAAGACTGTTGCAGGTAAATACCTAAAATCTGGGTTATGCAATTTTATGACACACGTCAAAAAAATCTGATTTTAGCGAGAGGTTTTTTGTCAGAGGTTTAAGAAGGACAGGGCTTTCCCTATAAAACTAGCACATGGTATCTAATCTTGTAGGGTAACACAAGACAAGGGGAAAGGATGGACACATGCATGAGAAGAGCAGGGTACCGAACGGGAAAGAGCGGTGATTACAGTGCTGCAAATTCTGTGAAAGGTCAACTGATTGCTAATGTATACTGAATATAAAGATTTATTCATAACCCAACAGTGGCTGTGCTCCCCCTTTGAATTTTCAAACAAATCATTTTCCCCCTTATTCTTCCTCCCCCTGCCTCAAATGCCAGATGCCATTTCCTTTTTTTTTTTCCCCCCTCTTGTTCTTTGTTCTCTTTTTACTGCCCTGCAGAAACAGATAGTGTACTTGCTGTAAGGTGAAAATAAAAATAAAAAAAAAAATATTAAAAATACTAGGAAAAAACAATTACACACCCCAGATCCAAACTGGTAGCAAATTAAGCCTCTATTCTATCTTATTATTATTAACAAGTCCCAAAGGCTGGAAAGTGAATTTTAGCAGAACTGATGGTATGCTTCATTTTGCAGCCTGACTCACACCAGACAATGGAGTGGAAGGCATCTTGAGGCTGGCAGGGTGCCAAATGCAGAGGTAGGCTTTAGAAAGGTGAAGTTTAGCATGTGTGTGAAATTACCAAGAAGTCAACAACCACCAGCTCAAGGTTACCCATCCAATGCCAGACAGAACACTGCGGATGATGACTATCACTGGAGATTTTCTTACATATATATATGTCTGTGTGTTTGATTAGTACTAGTGGACAAAAATGTAGTGCAGAATGAGCACAGCAAGTATGCAAGAGAGAAAACATGACTGCTGGGATGCGGTATGCATACTGGAAACTATTATGTGAAATACTTGCCAACTAAATTTTTGAAAAGGAAGAGAAATGTAAAGAATCCCAGGAAACCTCTCCAACTACTTATTCATTGTCTCGATAGGGCATAGAATGTATCAATCACTGAACTATAGAAGTAAAGGAAGACAAAATAGAAAACTCTTAGGAAGCAAGTGTAATAGACTGCTGAACCACAGTAGCACTAACCAAGAGAAACTGTTAGCCCACTATGGTAACTCAGCTGAAAACACCAGAGTCCAGAACACATAAAATAAAGCTAGAGGAACTGTACTGTGCAGGGAATGAAAGTCACTGGCAGAGGGAAGGAATATTACATGTACCATTGCAGTTGACACAGTAGAACACATTTAAATGTAAGCTAAATTAGATTTGAGACCTAAATTTAAGTTAAAGTCATAAAAGGTAGCACTGCTGGTTTGTTACAGACCTCCAGGGCAGGTTGAGAAGAAAATGTTTTTTGCCATATAAGAAACTTATAAAAAAAGTGCCAGAATAAATCAGTAGAAAGAATCATTATGGTTTAAAAAAAAAAAAAAAAAAAAAAAAAGGCCACATTCCTTGAGTTAGTAATGAACTGGTTTTGTCCTTGGAAATAAGCCATATCAGAAGTTAGATGGCACACAGGACCACGGCAGTATCTTAGCAAAGGGATCGTGGTATCAAGAAATGCTGTCCAGTGTGAGATACCCAGGGGCACAGAATGCCTTTATGCCATCAGTGGAGATTACAGACACATACACATCCTCCTTGGCGTTTGCTTGGCTGCCAGCCCAGGTAATGCCCGTGATAAAGGGCAATATATATATATATGTAAGGCTAAAAAAATCCTAATTCTAAGGGAACATACAGTGTTTAAGGACTACTGTCAGGAAATCCATGATACACAGCATAAATCAGCTGATGTGACAGCATAAGTTAGACCAATAGCATGTGGAATTCATCTTGAAACTTAATCAGCTACAAAACTGGTACCAAGTGCCAATATGACTCAGTAGAGCCAAAACAAGCAGGATCAGCAATAAAGCTGAAGGATTTTAAATAGATCAAGGATGAGGACTGGGAAGACATAGAAACAAGCAGTAACAAGTAAACTTTAATTGCTTAACTGATGACAAGCTGCAGTGAATACTTTAATTAACAATTAAGGTTTTAATGAACGCAGTGTCAAAGGTATAAGATGTTAATCACTCAAGCATTGTAAAACAATGGCAATGGAGAGCTTAAAAAGTGAAAAGGTAAAGTTTTGAATATACACTGTGGAAATAACAAGAGATCTTACAATTCCTACCATTAGTTTGTTGGTTTTGGAGATCTACTGAAAGCACAGTTATGTTTTAATTATTATAATGTTCTTTCCACAGATATTGTAATACTTCTAAATAGCACAAGTCTCTATTGTGCTTGCACTTAATATTGGATTGGGATTCGTTGGGTTTCTCAGAGTACAGGTAGCAACATTTACTTGAAGCAGTGATACCACACCACTAGCATCCAAGGCTTCAGTCGCAGTCCACAGAAGCAAAGCTGCTAATGGCAGTGCTGGCATGACATGTCACACAGGACTTGCACACAGCCTGGAGTACCTTGGAGCTGTAGATGGGGAGTCAAACTAAACTGAAAGGGAAAAAAGGGGTAAAAAAAGGCAAAAAACAAGGAAGGAAAAATAAAAGAATGGAAAAAGCAGTCTGATGAAGAATAGGGAGGGCAGCTTTTGCAAATTTGGTGGGGAAGGGACAGGGGGGAAGATTGGTCAGGAATAACTTTGAAAGTGTTAATGAAGGGCTGAGGCCAAACAGTCTATTTAATTTAGGTGGGGAATGCTGGGGAAAGCACTTTAAAGAACCACAGCCATATAAATTCAAATAAGAAAGGCTGTGAACCTTTAGATCAACTTCTTAAAAGGATAATGCAGAAGTTGGCAAAAAATTAATGTTCAGGGAGACAGAATATTCACATTTTTCAATGCAACACAAGATTTTACATTTCTAACTCTGCTCTGTGACTAGAAATGGTTTTTCTGTGGCTTCTTAAAATTTGCTTCAGATTTACACATGCAGAGAACCCTACCATCAGAATTTTACTGCAGGACAATTCCTTCATTGCTTCACCTGCTCCAAAACTCTTCAGTTTTGCAGCTCTCAGCTATGCTCACATGTGTCTGTTAGTGACAGCTGTGCCTAGCTCTGCATTGAAAGATTGGAGAGGGAACAAGGATGGGAAGATGGGTCTTAATTTAAAAAGCAAACAAAAATCCTACCAGAGTTAAGTATCTCAATCATGCTGTTTGTTCAGCCTAGCTGCTTTGCTTATAACACTATGATGCTACCTACTGATAACTGTATTTACCGGGTTTGTGTATGCTCATGGTGACAATTAAGATAAGTTGAGTAAATAACTATAGTAATTACAAGACTTTAGAAATCTATAGGTATATGAGAAGCTACCTGTATGTAAGCTCTTTGAATTATGGAGGGCAAAATAAAAGAGAAGAATAGAAAAGGAGAGGAAAAGAAACAAGAGAAGGAGCCACAAACCATGCAGAAGTACCTCTCTCTGGTTAGATTTCCAAAGGGGCAGGCCTTCACATTAGTTTCTCTTCTCTTTCTGCAGGGCAATACTTTGAAGACACTGACTACTTCTGTTTATCAAAATACCACCTGAAATAAAGGCTAAAAATCCAATTTCTGAACTAAAGCATTCCAGAAGTTAGTACAAGATGCCAGATGACTCTTCTAGCTGTTCACACGATTACAATAGCTCTACATGCTGAACACACTCATCATCTGGTGTTCTCATCTTTTGCTGGTTTTCCCTCCTTCTTTCACCCCACCTTTCCAGCCAGTCATCTCAAAGGTAATGGAGAGCATATGATTTTGAATGACTTGAAAATGAAGTAATTATATAAGGCACTGCTCATATTTGAATTATTTTTCTAAAACTAGTCATCTTAAATATTAACTTCAAAGCAACGGATGTTTTTTTTTTTTTTCCTTAACATTCCAATCAGTGTTTTCTCAAAAACCTGAGAATCTAAAGCAACAAGATACTCTCTACTCACATAGAGATTCACTGCAACTAGGATAAGCAGTATGAGACAATTTTGTTAGTCAGAGCTCACTATCAACTGTTTCCCTTATGCAAAGCTAACATCTGCACTGTATGAGTTTGCTCGAGTTTCCAGCCACTGCATATATAAACCTCAACCGAAACAGAAATGGGACATTATGCTTACTGTAACTTTCAAAAAACAGCTTTCCAGCCCCTACTAAAACAAACTCCTTTTTATTCAGGAATACATAGTGATTATATTTCATATAAAATTTGGCATACTTGGATACTCAGGAGGGCAGCGCTCTAAAATAGTCTTTAAAACACACACAGCACGCGAACGATTAGGAATCTATGTTTTGGTACATTCTGTATGTAAACACCTGAAAGCATGCCTTTATTCCAAGACACTGCTGAAGTACATCCCATGCCTCAGAACGTAGATCTCATTTCACTAGTTTCCTATTTCGTAGGTCAGAGGCGAGTCAGATACACACCGTGTTCTCACCACCACCTGGCCATCCATCCCTGCTCCTGGCATTTACGTGCACGAGCTCTTGCTCGTATCCCTCGCTGCTACACCTTGCACTCTGCTTCCACCGCAAAGTCCACAGCACAGGTACCTCCATCACCACGTGAAAACCAAGTTTCTTAACGTTAGCGGCTGCCCGCTGAAAGCCAGCAGCCCAGATGCTCGCCTACTCTACCACGCTGCCGAACCCCCGCAGCGCAGCGTTCAGAGGTTTTAGCAGCTCTGGGAAAGCCCGGCCAGGAGAAACCTCCCGCGGGAGAGACAGAGCGGCGAGGGGCCCCCGCTCCGCCGCCGTCCCACCGCACGGTGGGGGAGGCTCCCGCCGGTTCTTGGCTGTTCTCTCCAGGCAACGCCGACAGCACCTTGGCCAGCAGCAGCTCCCCCCGCGCCGCCACCGCCGGGGAGGCGAGTGAGGGGGCGGCGGAGGGGCCGGTGCGGCCTAGCAGCGGCGGGACCAGGCCGCGGGGCGGGGCAGCGCCTGAGGGGAACGGGACGCCATGGCGCGCGCGGCCCCCGCTGACAGGGGCGGGAGGCGGGGCAGCGGGGAGCCGCGGAGAGGCCGGGGGTGCGGAGGGGACCGGGCCGGCGCGTACCACCCCCCCCCCCCCCCCCCGCCATCACCACCCCCCTCACCCCCGGCGGCCGCTCGGTACCTGCCGTAGATGCCCTCGGTGATGCGGTTCCGCTTGAGCGGCCGCCGCAGCTTGCTGCAGTCCGCGCTCCGCCGCTTCATCCTCCCGGCCGCCTCCGGCCCGGCCCAGCCCAGCCCGGCCCGGCCGGCCCCGCGCTGCCCCGGCCCGCCCCAGTCACGACAGCACCATCCGCCCCCCGCGGAGGGTTCCCTCGCGCGGGGCTTTTTTTTTTTTTTTAATTTTTTTTTTTTTTTTTACCCCGGGAAACAAAGAAATAAAAATAATTCCTGGTCCGTCCCTCCCCGCCGCGTCCCCCCGCGCAGCCGCCGCGTAGCGCCCCGCCTTCCCCGGCACTGCCCAATCAAGCAGCTGAGCCCACCGGAATGGCGGCGCGTCCGACCAATCGGCAGCGGAGGAAGGCAGACGGACGGCCGAGAAGGCCCATCGGCGCATCAGAAAGTCGGTCCAGCCCCACGCTATCGCGCGGCCCGCCCACGCCCTTGATTGACGGCCGCGAGAGCCCGTCAAAGAGAAGGATTCGTGAATTGATGGCTTGCAGGCCAATCTCTGAGTAGATTTTGTTCTCCTCCCGCCTACTGTCCTTCTACGCTGGTTCCCGCCCCGTGTTGTGATCAACAGCAAAACTGCCCAATGGAGGAGACAAATAAAAATAAAAGGACAGCTCAGCTATCCATTCGGAAACGGAAGAAGGAGGGCTCAATTTCCTCTGTCACCGTAGCACTGAAGTACCGCCCCTCACACTTGATTGACAACCTTGTTGGCAAATAGGTTGTTGGGAAAGGGAAAATGTAAGTCTCAGGTGCAAACGTAAGCGGAGGCAGCTCGTGGCGCCCTGTGCTTCTCCCACCGCGCGGCCCCGCGCTGACGTCCCACCGGAGAGCAAGAAATCCCCTCAGAGTGACTGACAGACTCCTCCAGCCATTAAAGGACGCATACATGAGAGTGACGAGCGATCGGCCCAATCGCGGGTCAAGAAGCGGGAGGGGGCGGGGAGACTTGGACTCTCTTTCCCTCGTCGGCCCAAAGACGGCCGGTGTCTGGGGATAGGCCAATCAGAGGTCAGGGGGGAAGTCAGCCTCCTGCCAATGGGAGGCTAGTCCCTAAGGCAGGCCGGTGGGAAGGGTCGGGTGTTCAGCCAATGGGAGGCGAGGGGCGGGGCGGTTGGCTGCTGCCGGGGCCTGCCTAGTCACGGCCGGGCCGGGTCGGGCTGGGCTTTGGGCCGCGCTGGGTCGGGGGCTGCTCGCCGCAGCCCCCCCGGCCTTCTTTGGGTTGTGGTAAACCGTGAGGAAGCCAATGGCAGCTGCCAAGCCTGAGGGAGGCCGACAGCGCGGCCAGGCCCGCCTCGGCCCCGCTCCCGCCTTCCGGCTGATTTGGGGGGGGTGGTGCCCGCGGCAGCCCGAGCCCCCCCCTTGCTTCTCCGGCCTCTGGGTGCTTTGGGCCTGCCAATCCTCTCTAGGGGATAACGGGCCACCCTGAGCAAGGGTCATGCGAGAGCTGAGTCTGAGGAGCGCCGGCCCTGATACGGTTAAAACTGACACACAGGAAGGGACGTCAGGTTTCTGGTCCCCTCGGCTGAGTTGCTTGAGACGTTTGGCTGGTAGTGGAGCTCTCATTTGAAAGTTCCTTTGTACTTAAGCCTGCCTGAGAACACTGATCTAATGTCTTTTGGTTTGGGAGGGAGTTTAAGCTGGAAATCCAAGCATTAGCGTTTACAATGTGGTGTGTCATCCTGAGGGAAAAAAATAAGTAAATACCTAGTTTTAATGCATTTTCCCTGAGTGTTAATGCTGACAGGGGAATTGGTAGCATGCCAAAAAAGCTAATTGTGTTCCTTTGACCACGACAAAATGGTGGAAGGAGTTCTGGGTCACTCTTACCCTGGGTTTGTCTTGCAGGAAATGTGAAAGCTAATTAGATACATTGTATTTATAAACCACACAAAGACACTGCATCAGTTAACTAAATAAATTTCTAAATTGCTGTTTCAGCTATTTTTCTAGTCTAGAGAAAGTTCACCAGGTGTTCTGGTTCAGTCTGAATTACCCATGTGATCACAGAATTCCCATCAAAAGGAGAGCTGAATGTAGATCTTTCTGCATTGGGATTTTTCTGAAGTCAGGGCAGCACTCTGCATGTCTGGGAAGGTCCTTTGAACGTTGCTTAGGAGTTTCTGAAATGAGGGTAAGGATACTTACAGTTTTATTAGGCCTAAGTAAAAGCTGGTAAAGCAATTTGATATTGCATGTGAGGAGGGTGCAAGTTATCACCACAAATGCAAACCTTTCACAGACAGCTTAAAAACCATACTTGTGCCATATATCCTGGGTTTGCAGGGGGAATGTCCTAAAATATAAGCAGAACTGGAGTTTGTCTACATATGTGTTTGCTCCATATTTCTGTCACCAGTAGATGGCTTTCTACCCATTTGTATGCATTGTTACTATCTCAAACCGCAGCATGCAAGCATAGCACACAGTTTGAAATGGCCTCCAAGTAGAAAGTCTGAGGCATAATTACAGTACTTTAATCTCCAGGACTACCTGAACAAAGAGAAATCCGTTTACCCAAAGCACAGTGAATACTGAAAATATAGTAATGTTCATATCATGGATTCATAAATTGTCCTTTACAAATAATCTTATCTAACAAATTACGATGTCTGTGCATGGGGATATACTGAGCTTCCACCGGATGGCTCTGCTTGTGTGCCCAAAATGCTCACTCTAGTGGCTTCTGGTTTAAACAACAACAACTAAAAAAAAGCCTCTGCCTTACCAGAAGGCTCAGAACCCATAGGGCAAGGAGCACCTTGTAGTCACAACCTGGTAATAGAAATTGATACACTTCTGGATGAAGGCTAGGTCTGAATCAAAGAAAGAATCAGGAGGGTGTAGGCCTGTGGTTTGGTTCTCAATTAAAAGCCTGCAGCACTCTGAATAGGGCTGTCTGCCTGCTGCTTCCCAGCCTGGGGATTACCAAGGTCTTCCAAAGTGCTTGCTGTAGCTGTTCCCATGGCCATGCTGTAAACAATGGACTGATCTTACAAGTAGCATAGCAAATGCTATGTTTCCTTTCAATGGCCAGAGATTCTTGATTTTCTGGCATTGGGTTGGATTCATCATATATGAGAAAGTTTGTAGTGGAATATGGGTATAGAGCTATAGCCAAACTAACCTGAGAATCACACTGAGAATCTCAACAGAACCTTCCCCGACCTTTATATGAAGGGACTTGGGTCTAGGATGGATACAAACAAGTAAATAAATAATTTTAAAATGATTTTGCATAAACAACATCCTACTCTCACGAGTCCATGTTCTTACCATTTAGCTGACATGTAAAGCTCAACAGCACCTGAAGTACTGTCTGGATGGTATCCTGGAGCATTATGGTATTGACAGCTTGATATGTCTGTGTTCATGAGTACTTTTTGAGTTCAGTCCATGTCAGCTGTGGTAAGTTTGGGCTCCTGACATGCCACAGATAAGGAATTGTTCCTTGCTGACGCCTCTTGGGCGTTTTATCTCTCTGAGTTTTTATTCCTGCCTCCCTACACCTTCTTTACTATTAGTTTGAAGTTACTGGAACATTTTTATAGAAAAAAACATTAATGTGTTTGTGCTACTTAATGTAGTCTAATGCACAATGCCTTCTAATTACCGCAACTTCCGAAGCAGTGTGCCATGGCTAATCCTTTTTCTGGAAGCTGTTTTCATCATCCTCTTTTACTTGTTCTCAGATGACAATTATGCATACAAATCAGCCTTCTACCCAGGTAAGGTCAGCAGCCTTGCTGTGAAAAGACGGGTTAATGCCTGCTTTTATTTGCAGTGCAATAGAGATGGGATTTGGCAGGTTTATGTATTTGTTAGTGAGAAGTAGAATGTTTTTACTGCCCTTTAAGTACCCTACCTTGCCATGTATGCTGTGTATTTATTTTTTTCAAAGCAATGATAGTGAACAAAGACGTAGGTGACACTAAATTGCACTGTTGGTCTGTCTTCTGCTGCCTGTTTGTGGTGATCTAGACTCCTAAGAACGTACCAAACTTCTGAGGGCAGGCACTGTGTTAAATGCCTACCTCTGTGAGGTCTTGGCGTGCAAAGGCATTGTGCTACAAAGTAAGAATTCAGGATGGCTGTATTTTCCATTTGAATGTTTGATGTAAATAAATGAAGTTAATCCAGTGGAATTAAGTGTTTAAATATATTCTGGAGATGTATTTTTTTTGTATCAAAGGAATGTATTAGCAAATGATGTTATGGCCATAGTGTGTAATGTATTTACAGTGTTGTGCGAATATGAGCTGATTAATCCTTGTGACATTCTTGTGTTACCCTCCCTGTTTTATAGCTTGAAAAATGAGCAGTTTGTACTTAACGAGCAGTTTGATATTTTGCTGTAGGTACAGGCTGGCACAACCATATGAGAATATGACTGTTAGCATGTCCCAAGGGACACTTCAGGGCTACAGGTCCAAGAACTTATATCTTGGACAGCCTCTACCTTTTATGCAATGGTACTCGTTTCCATATTAAACTACTTCTACTGCTCTTTCTGTTCCTTCTACCCAGATGGGGACATGTTACAGGTTTTTCTTTGTAACTCATTTCTTCCCTAATGCCCTCAAGGGATGAATCAGCACTAAATCACAGTAACTCTCCCTGAAAAGTCCAACTTAAGCTCTTTAAATTCACCTCAGGAAAAATTAATGTCCAAATTTCACTGCTGTTGTGCTTTTTGACCCCTCAACCCCCATTCTATGGCAGCCATTCTGATCACTTTGTAAAAATAAATTCTGTGTCTGATTATGGATTAGAAAGAAAGCTCTGGAATTCTTTACAAATACAAAATAATAATGGCACCTGAATTGTTATCTGAAGACTTCTTAGTTAATTGTGATTTTTTTTTTTTTAACCAGAAATCCAGTCTGCATTAATAACTGCACTGCTGTCTTGGTCTTTTTGGTCATGCAGCTTTTCAAGATGTCAACTACATGGTGATTTTTGGATTTGGCTTTTTCCTGACGTTTCTGAAAAGATACGGGTTTAGCAGCACTGGATTCAACCTCCTGATCGTTGTACTTGGTGTTCAATACTCCGTGCTCATAGAAGAGTTACTAGTTTTCCTTCCTCAAAGGAAAGAGAAAAATGGTCTGGAAAGGTAATTAGTTCATGTTAGAATTTGAATAATCTAGAACTGCTGATTGCTCTTTGTGGAGGATAATGCCTTGTTATATGGACCTATTTGTGAATTAGCGTAATCATGTTTGTAGACATCTTAGAAGGCTTTGGGATTTTAAGTACATTTTACTGTCTGTCATCCTTTCTTTCTTGGCTCTGGTGGGGTCCCGATACAGATTTTTTATTTTTTTTTTTTTTTATTGCAGAATAACAAGGGCTGTTCTGAGTTCGACTGCTGTGGTCATCTCCACTGGAGCTGTTCTTGGAAAAACTAATCCTGTGCAATTAATTCTGATGACAATTGTGGAGATAATAGTTTTCTATTTGAGCAGATGGATCAACATCAGATTCCTGCAGGTATTGCAGTATGATTTCCAGGCACATGGGGGAAAGTTTCACTGTGACGCTGGAATGTTGCCTTTTGGTGGTTTGCTGATGGGAACTTCAGTGTGTTTTATCTCATCTCAGTTAGATTGTGGCTTTGTTTGCATTAAGAGATGAAGTCTTACTTTGGGCCTATAGTTAAGGACATTGAACTCCAAACCCTGCATAATCTCTATCTATACTCTTGGCCTTAAAGGGTGAGCTGATCTGGTGGATTGGGATGTAGTGCATTTGGCTTTGCCCATGCCCTGACTGTCCCCAAAACATGAAGGAAAGCCTTGACCTATGCTAAGACACTAATTGCTTTTAAACTTTACTCCCTCCCTGTGTCAGTTCAGTCTGGAAGATTTCCAATGTGAATGGTATAGCAGCCCAGTCTGGACAGCAGAGTCAGACCTGCATTTAACGTACAATGTAAACATAGCCCAAACTCTGTGTATATCAACTGTGTGTTTATGAGCTGCATTGAATTAAGTAAATGTCACATAACTCATGCATAAACTGAGGGACTGTGATAATAAATTGCTTATAGGGAGGTTACATGAGCAGGTCTGCATCAAAGGCTTCCTGTGGCCTGAAATAAACCACAAATTTGATTATTTTCTTGATGTAGGTTCCAGACATTATCGGCATGATGCATGTTCACCTGTTTGGAGCCTACTTTGGTCTGGCAGTCTCCTCACGTTTCTCTGAGCCACCACCAAGGTCTGAGAAGAATGCGAGTACCCCGAAGTCGGATTTATTGTCAATGTTGGGTAAGGCATTTGCTTTAATGTCTCAGTTGGAAGAGACTGCAGTGAAAATGTAAGGAAGGTTTCTGGGGGCTGGCCACACCACACTGAAGCTTTTGTATCCAGAATACACGTCTGAATGCAGCTAAGCATAGAAAACTGCTGCTGCTGTGGCTTGTGGTTTCTGACAAAGAGTTGGTGAGTCTCAGCATGTTTCCTCCCAGGCATATAAGCCATTCCTGCAATGGCTGGAGCATACTTTGCTTTTGTCAGTGTCAGCACAAAGGCTATGCCAGGTTAACCATTCCCTTTCCCAGCTAGGTTGTCCCCTTTGGGCTTGTATAGGTGTATTGGTAAGGGACCTGTGCCCCAAAGATGAGGTCATTACTTGTATTTCATTAGTGCTTACAGTTCCCAGCTGGGCCCAGGGCTCAGTTTTGTTTTGCAAGGTGCTGCACAGAGATATAAAAAGGCAGTCCCTGCCTAGTAATGTAAAGGAAAAGATAAAAGCCTGATGTAGGGTGGGGAATGCGATATAGATAAGCACACAAGAAAGGATCTGAGTGATGATAGGCTGAATGTATGGGAGTTCCATTCTTTTTCTTAAAGAAGCAATTTAGTTTCTTTATTATAATGACTTCTTTTACATAAATGTCATCAGCTGAACGAAGATCTTCCTTCCTGCTGAGGCCCACAGAGCCTAATTCTTGGTCCGTCTTCACCCAGTTGAGGGAAAGAGAAATTTAAATGCTGCTCTTTTGAGTCCCTGGAGCTCTTGCTTTGCTACAGAATTTGATGAGATCGGTATTTTAATCTAACTGATCAAGACACCATTAAGACTTCATTATAATTTTAGTGCAGCTTGCTACAACTAAGTGCTTGCTATCTGAAGTAACTATATTGCCATGTCTTGAATAATTCCTGAGGTAAGGTGGGTAGAAAGGAGCAACTGAGCAGGCAAATTCCTCATAGTTTGATTTTGCATCCTGCTTCTGAGGGCTGTGTGAAGGGTGCTGAGGTCTTCACCCATATTTGGACTCATATTGTAACTGTTTTATTTCCATAGCTGAGCAGATACTCATATGAATGCTTCAGTGGCATTAGTAGATGTTTAAATTATTTTTTTTTATGACTAACTACCTAATCAATGGGAATAAGGTTGTCATAGTAGGGATCATTCTACCAGCTCTCACTGCTACTATAGGTTTTGAATTGTCAAAATGGCCTCTCCTGCCTGAGAAGCATGGTTATCACCACCTTGGTACACTGAAAGGTGAAAATTAGAAATGGAAATGGGATTTCAAGGAGCCAAGTTAAGCTTGTACAAAAGGAGTAGCTGCCAGGGTTGCTAGAAGCTGGATTTAACCATTGTGCTTTATAGTGACAAAGGCTGTGTCACTTCTTAATTGACTTGAACAGGAACAGTTCAAATTTTACTGTCAGGTGAATTGCACAAGGGTCTGGTACCTCTGTGGTGTGGAGAACAGAACATTACCTACGGGAGTTGTCTGGACAGCAAAACGTAATGATGAGACAAGGCAAAACAAGCTGTTGCTCGTTGGTGGTGTCAGCTATGTGCAGCTCAGGGAGCAGAGGCAGATTGGCCACATGTGCTCCAACTTGACTTCGTGTGAGGCCACCTACTTCCCTCTGGTGGTTGGAATTTGATCTATGCATATGTATCCATATGCACATAGGAAAAGATGTATCCTGCCAAGCAGTGAACTTGTTTTATAGAGGCTGAGATTCCTAAATGCTGACAATTAGGGCCTGGGTCACAGAAGAAGAAGAACCTGTTTTCATTCCTATTAGTGAAGCCTGTGTGGTCATGAACGTGTGACACTGTGCAGTGATCTCACAGGAGGAAGGTGAATTGTTCTTTTGACCCATATACTAGAGAGTAGCTATTTGGTAGGTAACTCTTTCACAAATAGCTGTTCACAGCTTAAATTTCTTGTTGAGTTGGTGAAGCACGATCACCTCAGCTCAAGCTATTGGTCTTTAGCCCTCCTCTGGAATAATCCTAGTAGAGGTAGAGAGAATTCTGTTCTTATGATCCAGTTGCTCTTTTTCTCTTCAAACCCTGCCAGGAGGCAAGACAACCAGTACCAGTCATACTGGCAGCCAAGGTGAAAGACATTCCGAAGTGCACTTTGTATTTATTTATAGTGATTTGTACCACATGAGCTGTTTTCTCTTCCTCCTTGGCTTGTTTTCATTCTCTCTTGCAGCTGGTTTTGAACAATTATTCCACAGCTCCATGTAAAGGAGCAGAACTTTTGGCGAAGGAGCAAGCCCCTGGTGCATGTGCAAAACAGGCAGGATGCTGATTGTTTGGAAAACAACAGTGAAATTGTTCCCACTTGAACCTGCATTTAAGGGGGTGATAGATAGGATGAAGATGATGTTAAAGGTGTTCTTGAAAAGGGAATCCTGCAAAGGAACAGGCAGAGGCCTGCAGAGCTGTGCTTTGGCTGTATGTTTGGCATTACAGTGCTATGTTTCTGGGAAGATGTTGGTATTGCAGGTAACTCTCAGGGCTGTCTGCATTGTGAATGGTTATCCTTTGTTCACAATATGGGTATTATAGTGAATGCAGAATGTGGGCTGGAGCCCTCCAGAGGCAGCCAGTGGTGGATCCACTGTGTTTTAGAGCAGGCCATGATAGTTGCTCGTCTTTGTCTCCAGGTACTCTCTTTCTCTGGGTGTTCTGGCCAAGCTTCAATTCTGTCCTGACTATGAGCAACAAGAACAAAGCAATCTACAACACCTACTTTGCCCTTGCAGTGAGTGCTGTAACTGCCTTCATGTTGTCTGCTCTGACCACAAAGGATGGAAAATTCAGAATGGTAAGACATGAGAGAAAATTATTGCCTGGAGAAGATTCTGTTACTCTCAGTAATACACTGAAAATATAATAAATATTAAGTAAAAACAAGTCCAACTTTTCAGCCTGACAGTCACCATTAGCCTCCCAACCAGAACACTGAAGCTCTACCTTAGAAATTATGTCCTCAGATTGTAATTTACAGTGTACAGAGGCCCAAATTCACCCTAAAGAGATCTCATTTACATGGGAATGGCAATCTATGATATTAGGCTGCTCTAAGTGATTACTGAATTCTCACTCCATGTTTTTGTTGTTTTATGTTACAGACTCATATCCACAGTGCAGTACTAGCTGGTGGGGTCACTGTTGGTTACGCAGCACACAGTATCAAGTATCCTTGGATTGCAATGATTTTGGGTCTCCTTGCCAGTGTGGTAACCATATTAGGATCTTACTGTTTACAGGTAATACTCAAAACCTGAAACTGTTTTTTGTATAAGCTGTATACATTTCTTTTCCAATGTAAGATACCTCAGGGGAAACCTCTCTCTTTCAAAGAGATTAAAGCTAGGAAATCTGAAGTCTTCAGAGTGCAGAATTGCAACTTGCATAGCCAAAGTTCATTTTCTAGGTCTGCAATAGACCATATGCTGTTACCAACTTGTGTTTTGGTGTATCACTTAAACCTTTTCTTCTTCCCAGAGATGCTTGAATCCTGCTCTCAAGATTCATGATACCTCTGGAGTTCATTTCACTTTTGGCTTGCCTGGTGTGCTTGGAGTTCTTACCGAGGTTGTTCTTGTCATAACAGAAAACTGGACTAATTTACCAGGGTACATAAATTATTGCTATTAAGTAATAAGCTTAGCTAATCATTACTGTAGTGTGCCCAGAGAGGAGTTCTCATACATACAAAAAGCCTGAATGTCATCACAAATAAATCATTTTTTATACCAGATAACCTAAGATAATCTCTGAAGTCTAAAAAAGCCAGTAAAAAAGACTTTCAGAGTTGAGCAGACTTTGGATCAAAACTTTACTACTAGCTTTTGGTCCTGATTTCTATCTCCCTTTTTATATTATATTAAATACAGCAGACATAGGAGATGAAGGCTGGGGATATGCATCCTTCCAAGACTAATTTTGGCTTTCATGATGTATTTTGGGGAGCTTTGTATGCTAATACAGGGGAGGCAGAAATCAGCATTTCTCTTGCATCAGGCTTTAACCCTGAGTCAGGGGCAAGAATGCCAGTTTGGACTAAAGCCAGTCTGGACACTGAACTGGAAACTGTACTTAGGGAGATACCCGAAAAAAAGCTGAAGGGCTCAGTTAAAGATATTCCCTATAGGTTGTTTTGATCTGGCACTGGCATCTCATTTTTGCAAATCAAGCTCATGTCGCGTCATACAAGAAGTTCTCTGATTTGGAATGAACACAGTGGAGCATAAGGCTTTATACTTCTCGTCATGTTCTTATTGAAACAAACAAATTTAGTGATGTTTTAGTACTACAATGATGGTTTCTAAGGACAAAAGATGTCCTCTGAAGTCTGTATTAGGCTTCTGATAGGATCTCTTAAAACAACTAACTGCAGCTGCAGAGCAATATAACAGAATTTTTATGAGAGGCTTTGATGTAAAATGCTGTGTAGATACAGATTAATTCACAGTCTTACTGCTAAATTCAGCAACTGTAAAAGGTGAAACACTTGTTTTGCTTTTCAGACTGGGTTATTGGATCATGAGGGATATTGGTGCCTACTGCCTCACCATCAGTGTTGCCTTGATAACAGGTTTTATTACAGGTCAGTATTGAAAAACATGTTTCAGTAATATCTTCGTCATTTCCTCGAGGCAAGGGGTATGTCACCTTATAGCACCTGCTGTCATGTCAGTGCAACCCTCTGCAGAAAGAGGCCAGCTTAACTGGGGCTCTGGAGTGTGTTTCTATGGGTAAATTATTTGTAGAAGCCATGGGAAACATGAATGCCAGGGACTTTTCAAAGCCAGTCTTTTGAAGAAGAGATGTCTTCAACATGAATAACCTAGTAGCACCACTCTTGCATTGGTGAAATTTAACAGATGCTTAACAGCTGCCTTCAAATTTCAGACAGGAGATCTGTGAGGATGAAAATAGTTTTACATTTGGGTATTGTCTTGGTGACAGAAAAACGCTATCTAGAGCTTGTCACTTTTTAGGCCAGTTGGTACAAATCTGCAAAGTTTCATGAATGTCAGTAGCTCACTTGCATCAGCCAAGCCCTAGGCCTTTGATCACTAGTGGTTTGGGATCATCAGGGCTCATGTGTTTCCCATGTGACATTCTGTTCTATGGCAGCTGTTGTTTTTCTATAGCTGTTAATTCTGTCTTGAATAAAAGAGAAATGGCAGATGAAAATTGCTGTGAAATATACTCCAAAATGATTTTTTTTTGTGCTTTGTCTGAAACCTTTGCATTACCTTAAGTGTAATTAAGAAGTTGAGCTAATCAAGCAGATTTTAAAAAAACATTGAGATAAAATAATCAAGCATTCAGTGTTTAACCAATTGTTTAAAAATCTCGGTGTTTTCATCTGAAATCCCAAGCTACCAGTGGTGGTAAGGCTGACTGCTTTAAATGCACAGCCAGTTTTCATGCAAGAAGTTAATCAGTTTTGATGTATTTTTAGAATCTGACAAGCTGCTTAATGGGGTTTTGTCTAGAATAATTAATTTTTAATAACACAAGCCTTGATCCTGGCAAGCTTCTATGTTTGTATTTAAGGTCAGCTTGAACCAAGGGGCTCTGCTGAAATGTTTAGTTCTGAATTTGTATTTTGATCTATGTTACATCTGGACGGGTGTTACTAAGAAACCTCCAGTTACAATCTTCCCCTTTCCCTGGTGTGTATATTTATATCAGATATATGTGTTTTTACAAATAGGTTTCATTTTAAACCTCAGACTGTTTAAGAACACCCCTGTATCAAAGTATTTTGAAGACCAGCTTTATTGGGAGGTAAGTTTCAATGTAAAATTAACTCTATGGGAGTATATAGAGCACTTTGACCTTGATGAATAATTCTAGGTATTTGAATTAAAAAGGAATAATTCCATTTCACAGTACGTTTTGGATGCCCTGTTTGACATGGATGAACTGTTCCCACAGTTGATTCGGAGCCAGAACATTATAAATGCACGTAGTCTTCAGCTGTCTCATCAGAGCCGCTGGTGGGCATGAGGCTAAATCTGAAATTATCTTGTTTGTTGTAACACGTCATCTTAGGTGCTCAGACAGCCCCTGGGATTGACAGCTCTGGCCTCTGTGCTTCATACACAGTCCCTGAGGAGACTTGAGCAGCATCTAAGAGGGATTTTTAGATGCCAGTGAGTGGAAAGTGCTTTTTATAAGGACAGACCAAGCCTCCTGGCCTTCCTGGGTGCAGAGCGTCTATTCAGTCTGATACACACAGACCTTGGGCACCTTTAGGTGCTGAATGTGATGCTGTATCAGAATTGCAGAAGAAATAAATGGATGAAAATAAGCTTTTAATAAGGTTTTCCATTGCCTTTTTTGTATCATGATTTAATGCGTAAAATATTCTGATACAAGAATGTTTGTCTTCACAGTTTCCCCATTTGGCTGTTGGATTTTGAATGGAGGAACCCAGATGACAGATTTGACCAAGATAAGATTTTCCTATTTGTCACTAGAGAAAATGAATAGCTACGAGGGGTGTTGAAAGAGCACTTACCTACCAATTCTCAGGCTCAAAAAAGCCATCCCAATTGACACACCAAAAATTAGTAATAAACTGTTCTAGTTATTCTTGAAAAATACAGGGTGCAAACTTATAGATGCAAACTTATGACACATTTAGCTTTTCTGCTGCTTTGTTGGTCCCATCTTAAATATCTTTTTGTAGGTTATGTACAAAAAAGTTGGCTGCATTCATTGCTGTAATGGCTTATCAAAGTGCTTGGAAACTATTTTTAGACCCCGAGTTTGAAAGCCAAAATATGTATTTTAAAGCGTAATTTTTCAAGGAATACATCCTCATTCTTACCTAGCGAAGCATTCAAGTACTTGTTTTTAAGCTGAATTAATTCTGTTGAAGGCTTTGTTAAGCCAGGATTTGAGTAAGCTGGATCAGGGCCAGAACTCCGCATCTTCCCTGACTGAACTCTTTGAGTTATCTGACTGCTTAAAGAAAAATCAGTAATTACTTGGCTCAGGCTAGCTATCTCTAAGTTCAAAGAGCAAGAAGTTAAATTTTTCTGCTTGTGGACAGTGCCTCTGCGATCAGTGGTATTCACTCACACTCAAGATTTGGCAGCAAACCTCAGGACAGGCTGTCTGCACCACCCCAAGGTCAGCTGCCCAGGAGGCTAGGGCTGCCCTGAAGGTGTGGACAACCGGAGAGACTGAGAGAACAGCCCGCAGTCCCAGGGCTAAGACCCCATTTCTTAAGTGTCTTACGCTGAGCTGTTTTACTCTGAGACAAGCAGGGGGCTTTGGTGTATGAGCTGGGGCCCAATCAGGCAGAGGATTCTGTGCAAGTGAACCTTTGTTTTTAAATGGATAGCGATTGTCCATGTTTCTTCTTTGTTTTAAACTAGTTGACATAGAAAAACTCTTTCAAAAATGCTTACCTAATAAAAAAGTTAAAATTTGATTGTTTTTATTTATTCAGCACACTTGCTTAAAAATGAAGTAATGAGGAAAAATGCAATATGGAAGATGAGGCATGAGTTCTTTGATGCTCACTGCAGTAATGCATGCTGACCTCAATTCATTCATTAGGGATTAAGAAAAAATAGATCACTACAGTTAAAAGAAGTGTGAGACAGGTTTCAAGTAATGAAAAATAACCGGTGAAGGAAGGGCCAGTGTTCCTTTTTTCCAGGTCACAAAAGAGCCAGCAATCTTCTGAGTTTATCAGCTGCTCCCAGCTTCCACCAGCTGAGGGTGACATTGAGCCTGGACACACTTACACAGGCACCTTATCTCACGTTAACATGCTACTACTGGTCTAACAGTGTAATCCAGGCTCACCTTGTGTTCTTCACTTTAACTTAACTTCACTTTACCAGGAACAAACCAAACATAACTTCTGCAAAACAAGGGCTCTTTTCTAGCAGGAGGGCTTTTAAAGAAGAGTATTTTATTCCCTTGCTTTCCCCCACATCTCTTTTATCATTGATTTATTGTGCAACTAGCTTAGGTGAATGCATAGGAAGGGGCAGATAAACGATCAAAATTCTCCCTGGTCTGAGGAGTACTCTTTGCTAAAGAGAGAACTCTGATCGGAAGAGTACTCTTCCTTTTTTCTACAGTGGTTAGAAACTACTTGGCAGCAAGCTTTGTGGATGAGCTACTTCCATCTAAAGCCACTAAATAATTTGTACTTGTGCCTGTACAATGTCATCCACAGCAACAGTAAGTTGTTACTCACCAGAGATTTCCTCATGAGTCCCATAGGGTAAATTAAATATTCAGGGAGGGGGATGGAATGCCAAACCAGTGCAGTTCTATATTGTGCAAGAAAAGCCAAACCCCATTAAGTTTTGAAACTGAAGAAACAGTTATATTGTCCAGATATAGGAAATATTTAATAAATATATGTTAAAAAGTTATTTTAAAGCATTTTTAGTAAGTCTTGGATTGTAAATAATATCATAGAAACAAGCTGGTTAAATACATCCATTTTCCACTATACTATTTACTGGTAGCAAACGTATCATAAAAGTGACTGCCATTGTTACTTGTAGCATTTTACATTCGTCAGAAACATTACAACATTTAAATCAACATACAAGAGTAAAAAAATTAAACAGAATAGAACCAGAATTTTGAGTACTATGATTTAAGTTTTCCTTCTTTTAGACACAATTGAGGGTCACTGTTTACAAAACGGTTTTACAAAATTTTCAGAGTGTGCAGTTAAAAAACTAGCATGGCCAGTGTACTTCCACCGGCATGTTCATTGCCACAAATCTTCCGTGCGACCAAATTTGAAGACCAGTCCTCTGTTTAAAACAGAATAAAGGGACGTGAGTACATAATGGAGCAAATCAAATACCTAATATTTTAAATACATGATTTCAGGGAGCAAGTCGTAATATTTGTAATTCCAGTTCCTGGACCTGCAACAAAACATGCAGACAGATCCCAGAGACCCGCTGCCTTTACCAGCACTTTATTCACTCACATCTAGTTACAAAAACAGGGCTTAAGAAAGGAAAAAAAAAAATTACAGCAAGTTTCAGTTTTTATCTTTAAAAACAAATTAGATAAGAAACAAATAAAGGAAGATAGTCTTACCCAAAGAAGATGAACGCATTCTGGAAAAACACAGCTATTCCTGGGTATACTACTGGTTTTTCTAACAAAAGAAAAAGATCTCCATAAAATTTTTGGAAGTAATTTTCAAGCATATCTCATCTCTGACATTTTAGAAACACTAAATTGCACTATGTTAGCAAAGATAACCAGTTTCAGTTAAATACAGACATGTGGAGTTTGTGCACTGCGAGCTTACTAAGTGTAAGCCTTAACCCACTCGAAAGTTAATGAGGTGGCTTTTGTGCCTCCCCAAATCCTTTAGCTTTCCAAGTAAAAGAAGTCTCTCCTGTCCTCTCACCCCAAATGTGCATCTCAAATGCAATTCTCAAAGACTGCAATTATCACATGGGATTGTATATCTTGCTTGGAATGCATGTATGAGTATATATACATATGTATTCACATATAACACTACAAAATGGGAGCGCACATTAGTAGCACTACTGTGCAACTAATGCACTGATTCCCTTGAAAATTCCCAAATTTGAAAATTCAGCCAAAGCCGAAAAGAACATAAATTAAACAAAACCACCAGCATGCCCTGACTGGTGTGAAATGTACTTCAGCTCCAGCTACAGGTAGTAGCTTTACATTTACTTAAGTGACCTAACTTCCATCTGAAAACCAGGGAGTAATACACTGCAGTTTTCATGCTTTTCTCAAGACTTGCCTTCACAAAAAGTTACCGTGGTACATGTTAAGGTATGAATTTAAATAGGTGACTTGAATTAATTTTTTCCCTTTTGCTAATGTAGTATATAGGCTTTGGGAGCAATTTGCATGAAATCAGTAATTTTTATTCTGGGAATAGTGTCCACCCAGGAATTATTCCAAGCAGTTTAATATCAGCACAGTTACCAGTTGACCAAGGCCTGTGTTTCTAGTGAAGCTGGACGTCTGTGACTTAGCAGTAGATAAAATCCACCCCAGTAATAGTAGATAGTATGGAATAAGAACCAAAATATTAAAACTGTGCCTGCCTAGAAAATGTCTAAAAATAAGTTCTAAAATTCAATAGTCTTTTAAAATACTTTAAACTTGCAAAACCAGATCAGGGCACATTCCATGCTGTATCTTACCTTTAACAACGTAACCTCCAAAAAGGATCCACATGGAAGCAATCAGAGATCCAAAAGCCATCATAAAACCAATGAACAGCCAGATCCGAGCACCTTGAAAAAGATGTAGGGGTGTTTTGTGCCTGTGTCCAAGTACAGACACTTGTGACCTCCACGTTTCTGTTTCACAGTACCTTCTGTCACACACCAGAGCTATGCACAGATACACAACGTGCACACTGGTACAGCTCTTACACCTCTTCCAAGACTCAACAGCTTCACAGACCTATCGCTACACCGGAGCCTACACCACCGTACCTGTTTGTCCCAGGCACCCTTCACTGTAACTGTCACCCCGCACTTGGCCATTAGATACTGCATTGATCCTGTACGAGCAAAACAGGATAAAACTGGGTAAATACAGGTAAAGCAAGGTGTTTACAAAACAACAGGAGAAACTTCTCAGAAACGCATATAAAAAAGATGATGTTGTGTGTTTTCATATTTTTTTTGGAAGAGAGACAAGGCTAAAATTTCAAAAGCATTTCTCCAAAGACTAATAACACTTGGATATGTACTACACAATTTTTTAAAACAGTTCCTTACTATATCAACAAATAAGACATTAAAGACACTCAGATAGTAACTTGATTTGTTATTCTTAGTTATCTCTCCATTTAAAGATTATGTGTTCTTTTACCAATTGCATAAAATAAGTTCTAAGAGTGTGTAGCTCTAATCAAGGAACTACACTTACATTAGGAATGCAATAGTGGCTATAACCCCACAAGCATGGTATGAATGGTTGAAGTCTTCCACTTCAGGGTATTTTACAGCTGCATCTATGATTATCCACCAACCTGTAAAAAACTATTAGAAAAGAAGAAAAAGCACAATAGCTTAAAATACAGACACAAGCCTTTTAACAATATACAAGGTTACTCTAGAAAACAATGTAAGTATATAAAATCATTCTTACAGTCTCCAACCCAGAGTCAACTGATCGCATAACTAGTTTTGCTATCAACTTAGGAACAGGGTTAAATGCAAAGCCAGAGATTTACCTTCTCCAATAGTTGTCACATGAGTAGAGGCAGTGAAACTTAAGTACTTAACACGTGGATGCAAGCACACAGAACAGACTTTGTTGTTAACTCTGCTGCTACATACAAGGACGATGTAACCCTTTTATTCTTCCAAACGGCTAATAATTTTTAGCTCATCGACGGCTGACTGCGTCTAAAGAAGCCGGAAAGCAGCGCAAGGAAAGCTGTACGCACCAGCACTCCTGCAGCAACAGAAGCGATCGTGTTTCGTTTCTCTCCCCAGTCAACACACTCCGAGCACCTCAAGTTCTCGAGAAAACCTGACATTTTTCAGCGCTCTGAAGAACTGGAGAAGAAAATGGGACATTTCTTTCCAAGAGGAAACTCCACCACGCACCGCGGGCTGGCATGCGGCAATGCACATCCTGCCAAGGGAGGTTAAAACCGCTACGCGCTAAGAACCCCGCAGCCAGGGCCGCTTCCTGAGGGACCGCGGCCGCCAGCACCCACCCGGGCCAGCGCCCCTCGGAGGGCGCCCCGCCGCCCACCCGAGGCCGGGGACATCCACCCGGGAGAAGAGAAGGCACAGGCCCAGCATCCCACCCGGCCCGGGGAAGGTTCGCGCCGCGTCCCCGCGTTACCTCAGGAAGCTGAACGACCGGCGGCTCGCCGAGGCGCGCTCACTGCGCATGCGCCGCGCCCAGCCGCTGCCTTCCGCCAGAATCACGGGACCGGGCGGCCGCGCGCAGGCGGGCTTCAGTGCCTTCTGCGCATGCGCAGCAGCACGGGGCGGGGAGAGGCGCTTTCCCTGTGCGCATGCGCGCTGGGTCCCCGTTGCATAAGAAGGGGGGATTGTTCTGGAAGGTTCGCAGCCGCCCTCAGTCGGTGCTGGGCGGTGCGAGTGTTCGGGGCTGCGTCCCGGTCGCGGCTCGTTCCTTGGCCGGTCGTTATGGGGGTGACTCACGAAGCGGGGCTGTCTCCTCAGGCGTCGCCGATGGAGCAGGATCCGTGCGGGGGAAGCGTGGCGGGCTGGAGCCGGTGGGTTGGGGCGCTGTGGGGGTGGGCGGCTGGCGGAACAGGCGGGGGCCGGTGTGGAACGCGAAAAAAGGCGGCGATTTGGGGAGGGGAGAGGCCGTTTACGTGGTGTTAGTTGAGCGCGTTGGGGGGGTCGCGGTTTGCGGGCTGATCGCGGGTGTGTGTATCAATTAGTCGCGTTTCTCTTCGTTCCAGAAGCGCCCAGGTGTCCCACGGGAACCGGCACCGCGGGTGTCCGGCGGCTCCCAGCGGTAAGTGCAGCCTCGGGCGCGACACCCCGACCCTGGGGGGTCAGGCCGGTGACCGGGGGGGGGGCCGGGCGCGCTTTGCCCGGTGAGGGCGGGTTGTGTGAGGGTACGTGGGCTGTGCCCAGTGCGCACCTTGTTGGAAACAGCGACGTCTCGTGAGCGGAGCCGGGGCGGGGGAGGGATGTTCGGGATCAGAATTAATCGGTTATTTCGCCTTAGCTGTGCTCAGCATAATGCCTTTGACCTCGGCCTTTGTTTAGAGGTGAAGTAGTGACACTTTAGTAGTAGCAAGGGGAATGCTTACAAACTCGCGTAGAACTTGGTACCCTTGATCAATTTATTTGGTAACTTAGGTTGATAGTGAAGCACTGAAGAGAAATTATGTGATAAAGCAAGCTTCCTTAAACTGTGAAGTGACATAACTCAGGGTTTAAGTACTGATGATAAAATAGTCACACCCTAGAATACTGTAATCTTTGTAGATGTAAAATGGCTGCCACTAGAGGGACAACCATTTTAATTATTAATACATAACCTCAACAAGTGTTACATCCTTTACTAGTCATATCTAGCGAATCATTGGCTGCATTTTTCACTAGTTATGTAGAATGTTTTTAATAGTAGCTTGCTCCATATGCTGCTGGTGTGTGTGGAGCTTTGTGCAGATAGTTTTGTAATGTGATAAGGTCAAGATTTTGAAATGGTTACTTTGTACCTTGAAGGTACTTTTTTTCCCCTGTTGGAGGGAAGCAGTAAAACTTAATCTCCATAGAACTGCAGAAGAAAGTGGTTCAGTTTGTACTGATCTGGAAGGCAAATGGTCATTTTACATTGTACATGCAATAGGTTGCATTTAGAATAGATTGAAGGTAAAATACCATGAAAATCCTGTTTGGAGAGAAAAAGGGTATTAGCTTGTATCCCTTTCACAAAAAGTGTGTGTTTACCTAGCAAACGAAGGGCATTAAATTTAACACATGCAAACAAACCTCTCTTCAAAATTCCACACAGAATTGCTCATGGTTGAAACCGAACCCTTTATTTACTTAATGTAGAAGACTGACTATAGGAGAGAAAATGATGAAACTTAAAATTGTCATGTGCAAAACATGATGATAAACTGGATGAGAATTGTTGATGTGTTTAATTATCCTTGACCTTTTTGCCTACACGTCATTGTGTTGTATAAATTACTTGATGCATATAAATTGTTAGCTTCCCTCTCCCCACCCCCATCAGGAACAGAGACTGGGTATTACAGAACAACAATAAAACCAGAACCAACTTCTGAAGCTACCTGCATGGAGAAAATGGCAGTTAGGAAAACTGCTGACATGACAGACTTCATGGATGACTTAACCCTCAGCTCACCAAAGAAAAGAGAGTCGTCTTTGAGATCCAAGAGAAGTTGTGATAGGTCATCAACAAGGTCATCTAGCAGATCCTCTTGCAGTTCACAGTCCAGTTCAAGTAGTTCCTCTTCAGCTTCCTCCAGGAGTTGGAGCCGGTCCAGATCAAGGTCATGGGCTAGAAGAAATGGTTCCCAAAGATACAGAGGATACTCTCATTCCTATTCCAGAAGCAGGTCGAGATCACGTGGCTACGTGAGGTACCGGGGAAGGTACCGTGCCAGACATTACAGAAGGTACCACCGCTCTCCTCCAAGGTACAGATCACGCAGTAGGTCATGGTCTCGCGGAAGATCTTACTATAGAAGGTCCTATTCGAGAAGCAGATCACGTTCAAGAGGCCGAAGATACTATGGATTTGGACGAACAATCTATCCTGAGGCTTACAGGAGCTGGAGAAGCAGATCACGAACAAGATCTCGGAGTAGGTCACCTCTCCATTTGAGTGAAAAAGGTACTTTTTTTTTTGAGACTTTCATTGTGTGAGAACCTCAAAACATACCATTTATATTAAGTAGTCAAGGTCTCGTCCACTTGCTTTAGAGAACATAACTGATTATGGCAATAGGGAAGAAAATATCCATGTGGTTATAAAAATGTATTGAAAAAAAAAGTAGTAGTTCAGAGTATATTCTTTGCACTTCAACTTGGAAAATTTAGCTTCAGTTCTGATGAAAATTCATCACAGTTGATGCTTACCTAGGTGTGGTGATAGTAAACCTGCAGCTTGTAGGCTTGTACAAGTAGGTTCATGTTGATTTAAACATAAGAGAATGACAGTTGTTTTTCCTCTTGTAGACAAGAGGGAACTCCTGGAAATTGCAAAAGCAAATGCTGCAAAAGCTCTGGGAACAGATAACATAGTCTTGCCAGCAAGTTTGAAGGTCCTTACTCCTTCTAAAATGATAAAAAATGAAAAACAGGAGCATGAAGATCCTGGAGAGCCAGCTGAGGTAAGTATGAACTGGAGTATTCTCAGTGAAAGGTAAACGCTTCTTGATACTTGCCATCTGCATAGATGTGTTAGAGTTTTTAACTGTGGACTTTGTGATTATGAATTCAAACCCTTGAACAAAAATTTCAGATTTACCAGAATGCTAAAAGCTACCCTAGAAACCACTGTAGACTTTGTGTTAAGCTGAAGGTACGGTGGACTCTTAAGAGGTGGTTGATCCAGTGAGTACGTGCAGGCTTTCCAGCAGTGCTAGTCTGGGAAGGAGAGGTGGATGTAGTTTGTTTTGAGTTGTTCTAGTAGGATGTTGCCTGTTAGACTAGTTTATGTGTTTCTGACCTAAAACAAAGTGTCCTTACCAAACCTAGTGAACAGTATGGTGGGTTTTTTAAGGTTAAATCTTTCTACCCTTTTTAACTGTTAAATGTGCAACAAACTGTTTCCCAGAAATTACATACCCAAGCACACAATGCATTTTACATACTTTATTTCTGTCTTATAGAAATCATGACTATGGTTCCAGACATGATGAAGAAAATCTGTTGGTAATTAAGGGACTTGTGGGCTATAGCTGCTGTGCATTTAAGGGAGGGAGAAACTTGAGCAGCTTACCGAGTTTGAATTTTAGTTCGGCTCTGTTGTTAAGGTGTGTTAACCTGATTCATGGTAAATACAAAACGGCAATAACTTGTTACATTGATCAGATACTGCTGTTTCAAATGGAAGTAAATTTACTAAGGATTTTAGACAAATGGTACAGGCATCCCTTTCATAATATATGCAATATATTCCAGATGTTGAGAGAGTACAGAAGAAGAGGCCTGCATCACATGCAGATAAGTTTATTGTCATTATCCAAAGCTCTGCAGGACGGATATGCAGAACTTAATGCAGCTTGCTCTACCACTACACTTCCTTGTATGGCAGTCCATGCTTTGAATTGTTTGAATCCTTTTTAAAACTGTAACTGGGGCATGGATATCAGGTCACATGTGAATTGGCACAATTTCATTGATAAAAATATTGAATGCATTTCAAATTGAGTTCAACACTGATCTGTTTACATACTTAGTAGCTTACAGCTACTTTTGATGTAAATACCTGAAACAACTCTACCAGAAAGTTCATACTCTCTAATAACTGCCTTAACTTGCACAGAATAATGTAGCTTCCCACTTAAGCTGTGTGTGCTCTCCTTTAGCAACCCAGAAGAGTAGCTGAAGACATGACCAAGAGCGGGATGGAGAGAGCAACCATACAGAGAAGCATTTCTTTCAGTCCTAACGTAAGTGTGATTTCCCAAGATGGAAATCCAGTCCTTCATCCCTTCTATGTTAGGCTTTTCCCAGCATTGTCTACCAAATTAAAAGATCTTAATAACAGTAACACATTGAATTTAATGGTTTGATAATGACTTTCCTGGTGGAGTTAGATCAGGAGTAAAGCACTGTGAACATAGGACAGCAATGTGTTTAAAATAAATGTTCACCTTTCAACACTGAGTAATATTGAACATCTCTACTGTACTAGACTCAAAAGTTGCCACCAGAGCTAGTTTACACTAGAACTTATTTCAAGTTACCTGTTTTAGTAATGCAAACTAAGGAAAAAGCAACTTCCCAGAATCCTGTGTCAGTGAAGTGTACATAGTTGATACTCAGTTGGCATTGGGTCTCCCATGAGCTGGGAAAAAAACATTTCTCCTATCAGCACAGATAAACCCCTTGAAGTTGACAGGTCTTAGTACACTCTTTCTCATTGTAGCATTTTTAAAGGTAATTTCTTTTTCCAGAATATAATGGCAAAGCCCATACTACAGAAGCCGGCGAGCCATGTTGTTAAAGAACCGGCAATTTCTCCAGGAAGAGAAGATGACAGAAAGGGAAGTCCCTATGGGCAGTGGGTTCCTGTCAAAAAGGAAGAGAAGAAAACATTTTTAAACTTCTCACCTAAAAGTACACTGTTCCGGGCACGCTAGTGTATTTTTCTCACTGTCTCTGACTGCAGCTTTATGCATACTTTGGTAGTGACATCTGAAATTTTCCGATCAGGTTGAAGACTTGTTAATACTGAGTATTTATTTTGAGATCTTAATTTTGGAATCTTAGGTTTCTCTTTCAGATCTAGAACACAGTGATCCAGAAGCCACAGATGGGAATCTTGTGTATATTTGTAAATATTTTTGTATTGCTTTAATGGACTAGAACTTACAGGTGGGTAACTTTTTTCTAAATGATAGTTCACTAGCTGTTACTTTGAACTTGATTTACATTGTGTAACTGTTTACTTCCAGTAAATAAACTTTAATTTTGCACTGGCTTCTCAATGTGTCAACTATTAAATATGTGTGTGATAATAAATTTGCCATGTCCTGTAAATGGTTAGTTCCAGGTTCAGCTTCCTCTTGCCCTACTGTTACCTTGAAGTGTGCAACAGAAGGTGAGTTTTGCATCATTTTGAAAGTGGGCCTTTACCCTGGAGTCGCTCCTGTCCAGGCTGTCTTGTTCAGGGCCTCCAGAGTAACTTCCCTGGATAAGCCCTCGGCAAGGGGTGAGCTTGGACTGGGTGAGTAGGTAATGGCCATTGCACTGGAGCACCTGCCACCTGCTGGCTTCTCATGCTGAACTTACGTTTTGATTCATTGCTTTAAAAACGGCCTTTAAAGGCTCCCTCTAAGCAAAGCGTGAGGCTGTAACTGTTCAGAGCCCCAGAATTCAGCACTACAGAGCCCTGAGCTCTGTGGCTCACCCACACCTCCACACTAGGGAAAGTGTAAGTCAAGAGGCTGCTGCATGGATTGGAGACAATCAGTTAAACACAGTTTTTGTAAAAATAAAGGGCTAGTAGAATAGTTTGACTCCTCCACTCTGGAAGCTTCTTTAAGAAACTATTAAATTGCCCAGGGCAAATGTACTAAGGATTATGGATTTTGGGGCAACAGCCATTAGTGCTTAGGTCAGGCCCTTGTCCCTGCCCTCCCCAGGGTAGGGGCAGAGCTGTGCTGCTGGGGGAAGCTTCTCTTTTGGAGAGGTCACGTGTTCCGGAAGCATTCTTTCATCTTCCTGCTATAAACCTGTGTTTCCAGGGACTTCAGCTACTGAAGAATGAGGATAAACTTTATTTTAAATTCAGTGATAAGAGTTTGTGTTTATTTGGAACACAAAATTGCACAAGTCGGTTACTTCTACAAGTAAAAGCTATATACAGCTGAAGTTTATGTAAATTACTTCTCTTACATTAAATATAGTTGGTTTTACAAATTACTGAAGCCTAGAGCATTTTTTTTGATAAAATTGCCTGCAAAATATCTACCAAACTTCAGTAGAGGTGGGGCTGTATGTGCTTTGCCTGAGGTGATGGTTCAGACTGCTGTTCCTCTCTCCAAGTTCTGCTTAATCTCAGCTGTGTACTTCCCATAGAACCTCTCTGCCTTCTTATTGAACTTGGCGTTTCTCTCATTGATGTAGTCAATGTCTGCGTCATCATTGTATGGGCGGCGGCGACTGTATTTTTCCCGCTTTTCAATTCTGAAACAGAAAGGGCAGCGTTGGAATTGCTGTGGGTGAATCCTGGGGATTTGATTACACAAAGCTGTTCTGTCACACACTTCTCTGCTTTAGCTTCTTATTTACTTACTGTTTTTCAAGATCCGCTACCATTCGATCAACCCCTTCCTTAGATGGCACGTGAGTCCCATGGAGAAGACTGTCGGATGTGGGGTAAAGCGCTTCACCACTGGAGAGAGAATAACAGGGGCAGCAGTTTATGGAACTATTGATCACTCTGAGGTTTCACTGTGTCCATGATTCTTAATCTAACACTTCACGGCACCTCATTTGTATTGAACTGGGGGAGTCACAGATTCAGGTGACGCTTTCATAGTAAAAACAAGCTCTCAATTTTGAGACACACTAGCACATGCCTATGAAAGATACAGAAAAGCACTGAAATGCTAAATCCATCTGAACACAAACTTTGTGTGTTCTCATCTGTTGGTCAGTCTGTTCTCAAGCTGTGTCAGGCTCCTTAAAAACACCCAAAACATTTGGGAAATGAGTCATCTATGCATGCATTTAATAATTGACAAAATATTCAAGCTCAGTAATGCCAAGTTTGAAGAAATAAACCTCTTTAATTACTCTACTGCCCCTCTTCCCTATGGAAACAGTGCAGGATAGATTACCAGGGAGTCTGTGCGTTGTAAGATGACGTTGAAAGGCTAGTTAGTGTCACAGGGTATATGGGAATATGCTGAAAGGATTAGTTAAAGTCTTCAGTGTTTGCTAATAATTTAAAAACATACAATATCAGAGAACTGAAATCAAACTTACTACTGCTCTTTCAGCTTCTCGTACTGCTCCAGGTCAGGTTTGATCTGCCGTGTTAACCTCTGGTACTGGCGCAGCTGAGCAGCCGCATAATCTTTGGGAGAAAATTAATTGGTGTCAAAGTGAAGGTTTTCAATTTTATGGTTCAGTTTGCAGCTGAAATACTAACAAAGGTGGTCACTACACACACAGACAGTTATATAGTTAAGCCATTACCTGAAAATCCCAGATCTGGATTCTTCCTCTTCTTTTTCCTTTCCCACCTCTCGGCATCCTCAGCACTGATCTCTAACAGTTTAACTCGCTCATAGTCTTCTCCTCTCGCTGCACACTCCTGACGTGGCACAAAGAATACTGCAGTTTTAACAGGGTAGTGGCTAAGCATCAAACTTAGAACTACCTCAATCACTCCAGTCAACCTCCAGGGCAGGACAATAATTTAGATAATCAGGAGTCTAATTAGATGGGTTCTGGGGGGTAACATCTGTATAAACTCAAGACTCTCTCACCCCCATGGAGCCAGGGGCTCAGCACTGCTGCAGGCACTTGGACCCAGGCTCAGCTCAGGAAGGTTACAGGAGGCTGTAATTGTGGCTTTACCTTCTTCTTCTCCTCCACCTTCAGCTCCCACTCCAGCCGAGCTTTTTTGGCTTCCCAGTTTGCTGGCAATTTAAGCCTTTTATCTTCTTCCACCACTTCTTGGTGATTCAGTTTGCGCGCCTCGTTCTAAGAACAATGACAGCTTGTCACACGCGGCAACCTGGACAACGGAACCCCCGTGGATCACGGGAGCGGGCCACGCCACGGAAAACACACTGCGTTTGGCGAAGGGCTAAAGAAACCAGCACCCGCGGGTGCCGGGCAGGGTGCGACCCGGCGGCACAACCCTCCCGCGCAGCGCCCCGCCGCGTTGTTTCCGCTCCCGCCCCGCGTACCCGTTTCATGTGGAGCTCGCGGAACTTGCGCAGCCGCTCCTCCCGCTTCTTCTCCGCCGCCGCCGCCGCCGCGTCAGGCCTCGCCTCGTCCTCCGAGCCGGAGGAGCCCTGAAACAACCCACGCTCAGCCACCGACACCGCGAAAGGATCCGGGAAACACCCCCCCACACACCCCCCCCCCATTCCTCCCCCTCAGCCGCCGCCTCACCCCGCCATCGGGCTCGGGAGCCCCCAAACCCCCCAGCGCCGACACCGCCGCCGCCATCGCGCCCCCCCCGACCAACAACTTCTGCTTCCGGCTCCGCTCACCGCCTGCCGGAGAGGTTGCCGCGGCGCTCGGGCGCCCCCAGGCGGGCGGGAGGTGCGGCTGCCCCTCCCCGCTCCCCCTCAGGGCGGGGGCCCGGTGCTCCCCGCCTGGGCGGATAAGGGACGGTTTCCCCTCTCTTTCCCCTCAGAAAAGGGCTCAAACTCTGCTCCCCGCCAGCAGCTGGTAGCCGGATTTGCCTCCGCGGCCTCCGGCCGTCATCTCCCTTTTCCGTTGCCCGATTTAAAAGGGGCCCGGGGTGACGGCGCTGTGGTGAGGCGGCCCCGGGCCTCACTGGGAGCCCTGCTCGCTGTTGCTCCTGGGTGCCCTGCAATCAGCCTTCTGCGCCTGTGAAAAGCAGTGATTCTCCCTTTTTTTTTTTTTTTTTTTTTTTTTTTTTTATCTTTTTTTATCTTTGAAGTCAGATTTAAAGCCTTGTCACTGCATCTCGGAGCCGTCTGGAAAGCAATCTTTAAATTACCCCAGTATTCCAGACCCTAATGTCCGGGCAAGCAATTTACCATGGGCTTGAAGGGACTCCGTGGTTTAGTAAACACTGTTAATCAATCTGTTTTTAATTCTTCCAAGGAATCAATGGGGTGATGCAAACTGTATTGTCAAAGTAAGGAAGCAGCACATGAACCAGATGAACGCTGCAAACCTGGAAGCGCGGGCAAGATCCAAGGTAGAACCTGGTGTAGGATGCGAAGCCAAACAACAGCGTCCCTCTGTCAGTGCTGTCTGTCCTCTCGGCCCTTCTGGGAATCACTTGTGTTACACAACAGGTTTGCTCAGGGAGAAAGTTGCAGCTCTCACAGAAAACAAAAAGTTTTGCTGCAACTTCTGAGCAAAGAAAGTAAACGTTTCCATAATATTGTTGCAGTGGCTAGGATCTTCCAGCCTTACAAAGCCAAATGTAGATTTACTATAAGAGTTTATCAGTAATATTAGTATGCACATACAAATGCATCTATGTGTAATGTCTTTATATTTGTACAGTAAAGGTAGAAGGGTTCAGGACTTATTTTTTTCTTTGAAGAAACAATCCAAACCCTTTAAGGTTAACAACTGCCGACTGACAATATGTTTTTTAAATTGCCCTTGTTGGCTGTGGCTTGTGACTTTCCAGCAGAGGGAAATGCAGCACAAGCGATGAGGGGTTGTGGCAATGGCAGGCAGCCCTGGCAAACGCAAACTATCTCTGTTCTCTTTTAACTTCACTTTCTTCTGCTGCCAAACTCTGATGCATGCTGAGTGATTAAAAATATCAAATACAGTGTTACCCAGCAAGGAGTCCAGTCAGAGGAAAAAAAAAGGAAACCCAACCTAGTGAAGCCAGTGCTGTGAGACAGAGCAGACTGGGGCAAAGAAGGGGAGGCAGAAAGCTTTTATATATCCCCACTGATAATATCTTAAGAAAAAGGAGAGGATTGTCCCAATGCGGTTTGGGTTTTGGGTATCCCCCCCTCACCTGCGTTCTCCACATCCTCACGGCTGGGCTGGGAGTTGTTGGATTTCCATCCCCACAGAACAAGCTGCCACCACACAGAGGACAGGGGCCACTGGTGCTAGAATTGGGGGGATTTCTGAAGGAAGCAGCCAGCGAAGTGGCTGATGTTGCGCAGTAAATTGGGCAGTGCGCTGTCAAAATCTCTTACACGCTTGGGCCACGGCATTACTGACATATCTCTGGTCCGTCTGTAGCTCCCAGCCCCTCTGCCATGAGGTTGCCCCTTAGGTCCCGTCCTCGCTGGCTCCGAGCCCTTTGCAGTGAGTGTCCCACTGACTGCATAGGTGGCCCCGTGGGAAGGATTTTTGACGAAGGATATCAGTGCATGACAGGAGCAAAGAAAAACTGAGAAACATCTTGCTGGCACTGCAGCACCAACCTCGGCCCTGTCCCAGAAAGTCTTGGTGCTTCTAAAGAAGAGCAGCAGGGTCCGGCCCTGCTCACATGCCCTCAGGTGGTGCTGTGCTTCGGGGTCTGTCTCCACGTCCCTCACATGTGGGAACCGGCTGCCACACTTGTGGGTCAGGGAATTTTTGGAAGCAGGGCGGGATGCTGGCCTGGATCTCGGGTGCATGAAACACTGCATCAGCTGCGCCACTCTGCAGCTCCTACCTGCAGTCCCTTGACTGCCCTTTTATTTTCTGGAGCCTCCAGACAATCTCCCGTGACACCTTAGCGCTGGGTCGCTCCGTGTCTCTTCTAAACCCAAGTTAGGGGCAAGCAGAGGGGCGAGGGGCAGGGGAGAGCATGGGCTCTGGGCAGAGGCTGGCCCAGATACCTGCTCCACTGCATGATGTGGGGGTGGCCACAGCTCAGCTGCAGAGTGGGGCCATCAACCGCTTGCGTACACGCTACCCTTTTATTTAATCACGGGAAGCTGGATGGTTTTTATGGTTTTGAGCAGTGCCTTGGGCTAGCCAAGCCCTGAGCTCGGTGGAGCCTCTTTTCCCTTCTCGCTGCCGTAATGCAGTTAGAAAATAAACCCAAGAGGTTTCCCTGGCTTCTGTGGATTTGCTTCTGAGTCCAATGCCAACTCAGGCCGCCCGATTCCTGGTGCAGGTGCCGAGTGCCTCCCCAGCTCTGTGGTACAGCCGCGAATCCCAACCTGGCCTGAAAGAGCAGGGAATTCACCCAAACCCGCCTTGTGCCAAGGAACAGGGACTGGTCCTGCGCGGGCTGACAGTGAGTACATGCAGATCTGCTCTTGCTGTCACTTACAGTTAATTTATTTTTAGATTAAAAAATGTTTTTATTTCTCATGCGCACAGAGTTGGCACTGCTTTTTTGGGTTGTAGCTGACTCCATTGTCTTCTCCAGTTATGCCTCCCCTGCAGTGCCGAAATGAAAAATTCCAGTTACATATTGTACAGGGGATGGGAGCTCGGAGGAACTGACTCATCTCGGTTATATTTGTCCTTTTCAAAGGGGAAGATCCTGGTCGAGGGGTAGAGGGGGAACAGCATCCTTTATCTCCCATCCACTGCAGTGAACGTGATGCCGATAAATCAGGGGTCCGCAGGGCATGCAGCTGAGTTCCCCTGCAAAGGCAGCCGGGTGTCCTCGCGGTGTGAAGCTCCTTGTGCTGCTCAGACCATCGGGGCAGCGGGGAAGGGAGGGGTTTGTGTCATTTCTCAGAAAAATAATTGTGGCTCCAGCATGACAGAGGCCACAGCGCGCTCCCTGGGACGCGAGCCGAGCCCCTGCAGGTAGCGAGCCCCAGCCCCGGGGATGTTTCCCACCCGTGAAGGAGGTGGGTAGGGAGGGTGGCCCCAAGCTGGAGCTGACATGAGCTGCTGCAGCGCGCCCGGTTTGGGACGCTGGGATGGCTGGTCCCTCGCCCTGAGCTGGGGCAGCCTCTTCCCCGAACATCCGCCCTCGCTGCCTCTGTCCCGCAGCGCAGCCTCTGCCTGCCTCCATCTCAGGGGCAGCAGCGGCGTGAGCTGGGCGTGCAGTGCCATGGCTTGGTGTGCAATGCCAAGGTTTGGATGTGTAATGCCATGGTTTGGACATGCAGTGCTGTGGTCTGGGTGTGCAGCGCCATCGTTTGGGTGTGCGATACTATGATTTGAGTGTGCAATGCCATGGTTTGAGTGTGAAATGCCGTGATTTGGATGTGCAGTGCTGTGATTTGGATGTGCAATGGTGTGGTTTGGGTGTGCAATGGTGTGGTTTCGGTGTGCCATGCCATGGTCTGGGTGTGCAATGCTGTGATTTGGGTGTGCAATACTGTGATTTGAGTGTGCAATGCCGTGGTTTGGGCGTGCAATACTGTGATTTGAGTGTGCAATGCTGTGGTTTGGGTGTGCAATGCTGTGATTTGGGTGTGCAATACTGTGATTTGAGTGTGCAATGCCGTGGTTTGGGCGTGCAATACCGTGATTTGAGTGTGCAATGCCGTGGTATGGGTGTGCAATGCTGTGATTTGGGTGTGCAATACTGTGATTTGAGTGTGCAATGCCATGGTTTGAGTGTGCAATGCCATGGTCTGGGTGTGCAATGCTGTGATTTGAGTGTGCAATGCCGTGGTTTGGATGTGCAATGCCGTGGTTTGGGCATGCAATGCCGTGGTTTGGATGTCCAATGGTGTGGTTTGGGTGTGCAATGCTGTGATTTGAGTGTGCAATGCTGCGATTTGAGTGTGCAATGCCATGGTTTGAGTGTGCAATGCTGTGGTTTGGGTGTGCAATGGTGTGGTTTGGGTGTGCAATGCCATGGTCTGGGTGTGCAATACTGTGATTTGAGTGTGCAATGACATGGTTTGGATGGGCAATGCCGTGGTTTGGATGTGCAATGCTGTGATTTGAGTGTGCAATGCTGCGATTTGAGTGTGCAATGCCATGGTTTGAGTGTGCAATGCTGTGGTTTGGGTGTGCAATGGTGTGGTTTGGGTGTGCAATGCCATGGTCTGGGTGTGCAATACTGTGATTTGAGTGTGCAATGACATGGTTTGGATGGGCAATGCCGTGGTTTGGGTGTGCAATGCCGTGATTTGAGTGTGCAATGCTGCGATTTGAGCGTGCAATGCCATGGTCTGAGTGTGCAATGCTGTGGTCTGGCTGTGCAACGCCGTGGTTCGGGTGTCCAACGCCACAGCCCAGACCCTGCAGCACCGCGGGCTCTCGCCTCGGCTGTCGGCGCGATGCTCTGCCACGGCCGAGGCAGCACTCCTCCCCTCTGTCCCGCAGCGGAGCTCACCCCTCCCCAGCCGCCGCGTGTCACAGCGGTGCCGTCACGTGCAACCTGCCACATGGGCTTCTCGCGTGTCAGAAAGGAGCCGTGAGCGTGCCGGGGGATGTGATAAGGCCCCGGCATGCGGTGGCGTGAGTACAGCTCTCCTGCGCGGTCCCAGCAGCTGCAGGAGCCGCTTCCACTTCCTGCCCGTCCCTGCCTGTGCAGCGCAGCTCCATGCTGTTCAACAGCTGCCGCGCTCCATCCTGTTTCGTGATGAAAGGTGCTTTAGAAGCGGAAGAAAGTTATGATGATCGGGAGAAATAA